CCTATGTGTTTCGTTCGTCTGCTAGCCACCCCCAATTTTCTCACATTTTATCACCCCAAAAAATTGCTGATAAGATACCTTATCAACGCATCCCAAGGTTTCCCAGATACCCAGATCCCTGGGGGCATTGTTTAGAAGATATCTTCGAGCCGTCAGGCTCTTTTCAGGGGGCTATATTTATCAATATTTATCAGCATTTATCAGCGTCCCCCGCCTCCCAATGGGTCTAGGTTTACCCGAGACGGTTGGTTGACCGCCGCCAGGGGCATCCTTTAGCCAGGAATCTTATCATTCCAGCCCGACCCACCGGCAGTCATACTGGCCACAGGTCACCCGATCTTTCACGAAGTCCCCACTTCCTCCTCCTGGTGCCCTAAAATGCACCCCGGGTGGCCAAATCCCGCACAAACTACCCGGGAATACCATTTTTTTTGTAAAGGGGAAAACTGTCAGCTGGTCCACGTGGGCGGCAGTTGAGAGAAGATAAGCGATTGAATCTGATGAGTCGGGCTTTGATAAATTGGCACATATCGGTTCTCTGGCTGGCTCGGCAGGGCGGGGAATCGATAATTTATGATGACTTTGGCGAGATTCGCGATGTTTTTCTCGGCCTGGGGAAGTGTCAAGTCTAAAGATAGAGTTTTAAACACCCTTTTTTCCGATTGAAGCTTTATCTTGTCCTCTTTTTTCTATTTTCCTGGCGCTTCCGCTTTGCCAACATCGCTCGCTTTCGTTGATCTCGCTCTCTCTCACGCTCTTTTCCATCTCTCTCTCTCTCTCTCTCTCTCTCTCTCTCTCTCTCTTCCTTTACAGTTTGTTTCTACCTGGATCCTGTTGATTTGAATTGCGAAGCCTGTCCAATAATTTGCCTTCACGAACCCTTTAAAGCCCTTTAGATCCCAAGACCTTCCCCCTCCGTATCTTCATAATTCTGTCGTTAAAATTTAATTTGTCTACCGAAAATGAACCCTGATCTCCCGTCGATAAATGAGCCAGCTTCCTCCCCTTTCTTGATAAGTGGTCTGCGGTGCTTCCCATTTTTTATGGTTGTAAAAAGGCGGGCTAGGCCGGCTACCGAGGCTTCTCCTCCGCTTCCGAAGCGCCGCGGTTGATAGCGATTTTAGGGGAATTCCACGTGCCGCTCATTGGCCTTTCCACGGATTTATGGGTCTGAATTCTTGGGACTTTGGTGGATGCGGCTTGGGAATTGGTTCATACTTGGGTTCGTTTGGGCTTGGCTTCGGCTCGGATTGGCTTGGCTTGGCTTCGGCTTAAGCATAGGCTTAGGCAGCTTAGTCTCATGATCAGGCTTAGTAATGGGCTCAGGCTTAGGTATAGGCTTAGAATGGTCTTAGGCTGCGACTTCGGCTTAGGATTCGGCTCGACTTCGATGCGTCGGCTGAGGTATTTTTTCTATGCGTCCGGTCAAAAATGGTAAACGAAAAATAGTGACTCCGTTAGATTTCCGCCTACACATTCGCTCCTACCTTTCGTAGCTAGACGACCAAAAAGACACCCAGTTTTGACCGTTTTGGCTACCACGTGTTCCAAGGGTGCGCGACTCCGAGAAAAGAGCAACGAGGGAGTGATTTGTGAAGTGTCTAGTTGTTCTGCCCCTTTTGGCCGAACAGATCGGCTTATTGCTGTACCCCCCCCCCCATTTTCAGTGATGTGAGTTGATTTAGGCGGTTTTTGCATCCGATTTGCACCCACGCCCGGCAGGCACTCGGTCAAACTTGACGGGGTCGAGGTTTTTGGGCTCTTGAAAATTTGGATTTTAAGGCTCGAGGAGCCTTATTTGATAAGAAATTTTGTTTGCGTGCAAGATGCCATATAGAGCGCACTAATGTTAGAAGTCATGCGCCTTTCTCCTGTGGGACCAGCTCATGTCCTTTAAACAATTCACAACCAGAAATGGTACAACTACGTGGTCTACTACGGAGTCTAGTCTACTCACGTACAACTTCTCCGATCTATGTACAACAGGCCGGATCCGACAAACTTCGGCGCCATATTTATCTCACTCTGGCTCTCTCTCTCTCTCTCTCTCTCTCGCGTTCCCTCGTTCTCTCTCTATCTATCTGTCTCAGCCGCTCCTTTACCCTCCTACAAAATCGTGATCCTATTTTTTTCGGCTCCCAAATTCGTGATCGTTCTCCGGGCGTTCGGTGCTGCCGCTCTGAATCCGAGCACCCGTAAAACCTCATGCTCTGTGGCCCCAAGACCAGACCAAAATGCATTGAATCAGCGCGCGTCTCTCGTGTCCGTGTTTCTCGACACAAAATAGCGGTCGGGGAGCCTGATGATCGGCGCAGAGCCGAGGTGATGGGTATAAAACTTGGGTTGGCCCGAGCTCGAGACCAGGATTTTTGAAAGCGTCCCTGCAAGGGTAGCGTCCAATCGTTTCTTTCTCTCGCCCTCTCTCTCTCTCTCTCTCTCTCTCTCTCTCTTTTTCTCACTCTCACACACTCTCTCGTCCTGACTTCCCACTGCCTTTAATCTACCTCATTCGCTCAAAAAACCTCTATCCCTCCCCCAAAAACTGCTCCAAACTTGGCCCAAATGTTTGCCATCATCAGGTCAGCAAGTATCCCTCCGCGACCGTTACAGAACGCCGCTCCTTTGGGTCGTTCCAAGTGGCCGAGCGCGAATAAACACAGTCCCTCCTTCCCGCCTCCTCCCCCGACACTAAATAGCCATAATATTTTCCTCCTTCGTGGCCCTCGATTGCCCTCGCCCCCAAAAAGTGCCCCCGGCCACCGTAATCGCGATCCGCTGATCAGGCACAGTATTTTAAGGCCGGCTGGGGCTATTTTTGCACCATCTCGCCTTGGTTATTTTGATGTTTGGTTAGTTTTTGGTGGTGTGCTGCCGAAAAGGGCGCAGGCACAAGGAAGACAAAGATAAAACCGCATGGTTTTGGGTATGCTTTTGCCAAATCATTTTCCATTTTTAAGCTTTTCGGTGGTCTTTTGATGATTGGCGCATTAACGATAGCATTTTGAAGTTACCCTGAGGTACCATATTTGGTAATTAGCGGATTTATAAGCCATGTATCAGAGTTTTGGATGTCTGCGAAAGCGGGAGAGAGAATCTGAAGCCGTTTGGCATGGTGCCAAATTTAATTTTACTGGTTTTCCCGTTTCCGAAATGAAAACTCAAGTTTTCTGAATATTTTCCTAATTTTGGCCATATTTCCCATACTTTAATGACTCTTGAAAGGCGCCTGAAGGCATGATCGTTGCAAAGTTCTGGCAAAAGGATGATATAATCAACTTTTAGCGACAAATCAGAAACTATTAGGGACTGTAGAACAATGATTTCTTGCCTACCTGCTCAGTTTAAAGGCGCTTTTATGTTTTAACTTTTGTAGCACGTCTTATTAAAATTCCCATGTGATTTTGGAGCGTATACTGACTTCACTAGTTTTCCAGACGTTTCCACACTACACTCCAGCTATTCCCCCCCACATGATCGTTGCCCTTTTTGGCAACACATTTCTCGGAGCATCGAATTTTTCCTTTTCTACACCCCTGGAAAGAGAAAAAAAGAGGGAAAAGATTGGTATCAAAATTCACTTCCCCCCACCCAGCCGAGTTCTGTTTTCCACTTCCAATTCCAATGCATCAAATACCGCCGGCGAGTGCGCGCCGCCAGCCATTTCTCAGGTATCTCAGGTGTACAATCTGACCGCACGACGTCACCAAGCCGTTCGCGGGGGCTCGCCGCCCTCTTGGTTGTCCTTGTCAAGGGGGATCTGTGGCCGCCCCCCCCCCCCCATTTCGTTCCATTTTCCTTCGTTTCCTGTAGCACAGCTCCCCCGCGAAAACAAGCCACTTTTTTGGTGATGTTTTGTGGTGGTGCGGGTTGTTGGTTGCTGCTCTCTATACAAAATGAGAGTTCGGCTGGTTTTTGTGGGTTTTGAGGGGATTCGAACAGATTCTGGGCTGAATTTTTTCGCTATTCGTTCGCTCGTTTCTGTCATTGAATTTACTTAATTTAATACTCAGAATTTTATGTTAATTAGCACGACGTTATTTTACGAATTTTCATGAGAATTTTCTTATTAAGAAAGTATCAACGACACCTAGAATGGTTTGTAAAAATGTTCAAACGATTTTAGGATTTTTTCATAAAAGTGGTCGAAAGATTTTGATCTCAATTATCTGTTTTTTCCTACTCCCGTTTCCGTAATTACGTATTGACACGGAATTTCATGATAATCCGCGGCTAATTTCGCAGAATTTTGAGGAATCCCGCAGAATTCCTATTTTTTCTTAGTTTACGATAGGGACAGTTTAGCGAGTTTTGTTTCCACCACTCGTGTTCCTCTGCCTCGTTTTTCTTGCTTTCCTTCTCCCTTAGATTTTCATAGTTTCTGGGTCCGTCTAACGTCGGTATTCTTTTTATTTTGTAATGAGCTCCGTTATCGCCTCAACTTTTAATAAATTTCCTGCTTAACAAGCTTTATTTACGCAGAATTATACCTTTCGAGTACATTCTAGGACCCATTCGACACCCTCCTAATCCGTTTCCGGTATTTGCACCATACTCACCAAATCCGCATCTGGGTGACGTTGAAAATACTTTTGCCGGTTCAGTTCACCCAGAATAAGTCCCAGATCGGGGCCGGCTTATTGCGACAATTCGGTTTAAGAATTTCGGAATTCGCCCTTTAGCTTGACGGTTTTTGAAAACTTTTGGCTTTTGTGCTAATTATAATGCAGATTCAATATTTTCATCTTCAGTTCCCTTCGTTTTTCTCTTTTAATTTTCTGAATTTATTAAATCGTCTTTCAGGTCTGCGAATGGACATTACCGAATACACAATAGAAGCGACCACGATCACAGCAAACGCCAAGCTATGCCGAGTATGCGATGACCGGAGTGATGGAGCCCATTTTGGGGTGGAATCCTGTCGAGCTTGTGCCGCATTTTTTCGGTATCCTCCGAGGGTTACGCTTGAAAAAATTGCGGTTGTTTTTAGACGGTCCGTCGTGATGCGCAAGCGCTACATCTGCAGGCATGGAGGAGAGAATTGTGAAATTAACAAAAGTACGTTTTTATGGAGACTGGAATACTCTTAAAAGTTATGTGATTTTAAAATCAACAAGAGGTAATTAGAAAATATAAATGAGCTTAGCATGCAAATGCAAAAAATCGTAAATGCAATCCAATTCTTTTGTTGTTTGGTATGACATTTACGGAAGAGGTACAAACACGCGTTTTTGTAATTTTAAGAGCAACTTGAAAGCCTATAAAAAGTATATCTTCGATATTAGTCATTGTGTTCATAAATAACAAAAATCAAAAAGGAAGTTTTTTCTTTTTAGCAATATTTTTAGTGTTTTGGTGCCCCTATTTATGCAAATTTCCGCAGGTGATTTGTCTGTTCCTAGAAGCATTTCATACAGCTTTCGAAATCACACGTTTTCGACGTTTTAAGGGATAAACTATGTAAATAAAGCCACCTAATCTTCGATTCGGTTGGGGCACACATTCTAAAATTCTGATTTTGGTGTAAATTTCACTAATTTTCCGTTATTTTCAGCCGTCCGCTGCATGTGCCGGTGTTGTCGCTTCAACAAGTGTGTAAAGGTCGGCATGATGCGAGACGGTAAGTGTTATTTGTAAATATTTTTTTTGTTTATTCTTCAGCCTTGAAGTTCCCAGGCAATAATTGGAAAATCGCCAAACGCACACGTGGTAAAAACGTGGTTAGGGCACGTAATAGGAAAAGACTTTTGAAAAAACAGTGCACTATTTGTAGCTTTATGTATACTCTGATATATATCTCGCAATCCCTCAATTATATAGTTGGCTCGTTAAAATAGGTAATTCTGGAAAAAATGGCTAAAAACACAAGTCAGGACCCCCGGTCAGGGGCGCGGGATAGGAAAGGACCAGCACCCCGCGCACTTTCCGTCCATCGCCATCTGAGAGGGGATTTCCTGGACGAGCCAAAAAACAGGCCACAGTAGGACGGATTTTCCGATGGTTTTGGCGTCACTCTACAATATTCTCACTCTCTCTCTCTCTCTCTCTCTCTCTCTCTCTCTGGCCCTTATAGGCTCTTGTAATTTGGTTGATTTGATAAGCGCTGTAGTGCCGGGGGGCCTGGGTAAATAGAGCAACCAGACAACAAATCAGAATTATTAGCCCTCGGGGCAATAAATAAGGAATGACGTTTGGTTTTGAAGAATAGAGGGCAAGGTAAATATTTTGCGGGATTGAATATGGGATATTGAAGAAATAAGAAAGAAAAAAAATAAGAAATAATAGCCCCCATAATTCGTCAGTGAATGCGGTCGAGGAGTAATTTAGCCCCGGGCCTTGCTTATTAATAAAATTATACATCAACTTCTTATTGAGCGACAGAGCTGTGAAGTCTGCCAACATTTTTTGACTTGCTCCATAGCATAAAAGGTAAAAAATTTAATCATGCAAACTAGCCGAAATCGAAAAAAATAAGATGAAACTCACAATCGGTCGCCTTTGCTGAGGTTGTACAACATATAGTAAGTAGGCAGTATGTCTTAGGTAGAACTAGGCGAAAATGTGGACAAAAATGCCTGCAACAGGAGCACAATTCAAAACTATATATCGATTCATTAACTCTATGTATTAAAAAATCAATAATTCTTTGCAGCCGTCCAAAGCCCGCGAGACCAAATTGGCAAGCGCACCGAGCAGCAGCACTATGTGGAAATTAAACAGGTACCACCTACGCTATACGTTTTTAGGGCTAATTCCAAGCGCTCCAAACCCTAATGTATTTTCATGTTTTAGGAACACGCCGACTCAACAAGCACCGGCTATTTCGATCCGTTTTTCATGGAGGCACCGATGATCGACTCGTTTGCCGATGTGGTATGCCCTACCTTGAAAAACCAAAATCATAATTCTATATTTAGTTTTTAACCGAAGAGCAAGCAATTCCGATCCTAAAGAAAATCCAGCAAGGCTACAACGAGTTGCGGGCAAAACGGGCTCGATATCGATACGAGGCGCCGATGGAGGATCCGTTGATCATTGGAATGGTACGGAATTTGGAGGTCTTATAGAATTTTGGGCTACGGTTTACTTTACCCCCAGCCGGAAGTTTTTGGCTATAACTTTTTATTTTACATTATTGTAGGCTCAAATTAAAACTCTTAGTATATTTTTCGACGCTCTATCGAATGGCGTTGCGAAAATCCCGGCGGAAATACCGACAACTTTGAGACCCTTCGGCTGTGGGGGGGTAAAGTAAACTCTTACCGAATTTTGGCTCGACAGTGCCTTTAAAATCAGGATAATCCACTACATGCTATATTCCATGCTTTCATATTCCCTTTAAAGTACCATTCTACACAAAAATTATTTCAGGACCCCCACACGCCGCGAAGAATCACCCACCGCCACGGATTCCGGATGCTAGCCCACGATAATGAAAATATTTGCGATTTCATGAGAAACTCATTCCCGAGGCTTCACGATTTCGCGCCGGAACAAAGAGTGGGAATTTAGCTGTCTAATTCAATACTTTAAATCCCAGAAAGTCCTCTACCGATCCTGTTTTGCCAGCTACATGCTCTTCGACTCGGCGTATCGGACCTATTTACAGGGCGGTGACCAGAACGATCGGTGAGTTTTGCGCTCATCTAACTATGTATATATAAAAAATAGTTTTTGTCTGTGTAGATTTGCATGAACTTCCGTAAGTATTTTTCGGGACCTACAGCCTCAGGGGAAGGTTTTTAAGCTATGTTTGATATGTCATTAGGTGCGCAATGGTCCCGAGATGAGTACACACATATAAAATGCAGGAAAGTCGGCTGTTTTCGCTATTAAAATTAAGTTTTTGTAAAGATATCGAAAAACCTGTTTTTTATGAGGCAATTTGCATACTCCGCTATAAAGGGGCCAGCGGGGCTTTTCATTTTTTCGATCCAAAACTCGGGAAGAAATATGCAAATTTTTACTGTGATGTGAGTTAGACGGGGCCAGGGTTGGAAAGCCGCGAAGCGGTTTTTTAACACTGGTTTTCAATAGCTTTAATCCGTAATTATAGCTTAGTTAGCGTTTTCGTTTTCGACGCTAGCACCATAATATTTTATCACACTCTCAATCACCAAAAAAATTTCGAAAATCGAGTAACTTTGAAACGACCTAAATTCTCTTTTTACGGAATCCTGCTCTATATTTTTCTCACCCGTTTCCGCTTCCAGTTGGTACATCTCCGATGGGAACTTTATCGACATGGCCGATGTCGGGTACTACTACTCGGCGTTTGAGGGTTCTTCATTATCACATACTGATGCGTCCAAGTAAGATACCCCCAAAATTTTTCACCCTTTGTATACTCGAATTCCTATCCCTGTCCCGTCCTCGGCAAAAAGGCTAATATTTCTAGCGATTTCAGCCTCTTCCGGCCGACGTTCCAGATGTTCGTGCGGAATATCTTGCAGCCGATGCGGCAGTTGAGGATGACAGGTTTGGATCTCGATTAGAAATCCCAGTAACAATTCTTCAAAATTCTCAACTACTGTTAAAATCGAAATTTAACAACCGATTATGCTGTATAAATTCTGCTTTAGATATGGAATTCTTTGCCCTCATTGCGTTGTGTTTCTACTCGCACGGGGCCGACGGCGGCACGCACGATACGGATCAGAAGACGATGGAAGTACGAGACGCGATTCTACGGTAGGTTCAGCGAGTTCGGTAGCGTACTGGGACGTACCGTAACGTATCGTATACTTGAGCGTACTGTAGCGTAGAGTGCCGTACTACGGCACACGTCTAAGTCTAAGCTATGCCTAAGCAAAGCCAAACCTGAGCCTCAGCTTAGTATCGGTCTAAGTAGCAGCTAAGCCAAAGCTAAGCATCGCCTGACCCTAATTGTAAGCCAATCCCGAGCTAAGCCCAAGCTAAGCTTAAGCTAAGCCTAACTAGAAATTTAGTCTAAGTCAAGCCTAAGCTCGGTCAAAGCCGAAGCATAAGCCTATTAAAACCTCTTTTTTAGCGAGCTGACCCTCTACTACACCCGCTTCGCCTACTTCAAGGACTACCCCCTGCGAATGGCCCAAGTCATGCTCATGCTCCCCTCAATTCACGTAAGTTTTTGAAGCCTTTGTAGCCAGAAAAGCATCAATTAGGGCTTGAACATCCTCAAAAATTTAATGTATTTTTTAGCGCATCACCACCCGATTCCGCGAAGACTTCGAGATCAACAAGCTGTTCAACACGGATTTCGGCGACGAGAAAATCTACGATCTCATCAACGGCAAAGAGACTTACTGAGATTTTAGTTGTGCTCCCCAGATTTTTAGGCGATTATGAAAAAAGCCCAAAGCATGTTCAAACGGTTTCGCGCTACGGTGGGCAGAAGTGAAATGTCGAACAGAGGGAAGGTGGGGAAGTCGTGATGATAGTTAAAAAGTGACTAATTTAGCAGTTTTAAGCCCGGCGGGCTTAGTATTTAGGCGGAACTTAACGTAGTTAGCTTGTCATGCTAGCTAAACTTTCGGAGCTTGATCTGGCTTGCTGCATACTTCTTGGCTCGATATGCAAATTTAATTCCCGGTTAAGAGGACCCGGTGCAGAATTTTTCGCTGTATCCGAATCTGTTTTCAAAAATGCGGAAAATACCATATTTTTCAGTTGTCTAGGCTTAAATTGGAAATTAGGAAGATGCAAACTGTCTAAAATTGTCTCCTTTTTTGTAAACCCGCTTTGAAATGTAATGCCCATTTAAAGCCGGGGAAAATTCTGCCAAAAATTCGCTGAAAAATGTTTCTACTTTGTATTAAATTTGTAAAAAACGCATGAAGCTTTTGCCTAGTTTTTACATGGCGTAATTGAATCACTTTTCAAGGGATCATGCTAGCGATTTGTCCTCATCAATCCGAATTTCAATTCACGATTTTTGACCACCGAGAATGTTCGAATTTTCGCTCCTCCCCAAATTTTTCTGTTTGTTTTAATGCCAATGCATATACAAAATAAATCACTCCTCAAACGGCTCGTGGCAGACTATTTTTTCTGGGTCTATTTCCATTGTTTTTCTTTATTTCTGAGTCCCAATTTTTCCCCCCACTTTCCGTTCACTTGTTTTTCACGTTCTCCTCTATCTTCCCCATTTTTTTTTGTGAATCGTGCTGCGGGGAGGGGATTTTCGTCGTCTCCCCGCAGCGGTCCCCTCTACTACCTAGCAACCTCAATTCCCCCTCCGCCTCAAGAAAACACATCATCATCCGATTCGCTTACATACATATTTCTGGTATTTTTCCTTATACTACATATTTGTGAATAAAGTTTTAAATATTACTGTACTACGACAATTTTAAGCGACTGATGGGAAACGCGGAAAGGACGTCGAAAAAAGTAAAAAAAGCCAACAACCCCAATTTTCGGACCTTTTAAAGGGAAAATCAAGTTTCGACAACAATTTTGAAGGATTTTATCCATTTGTACGTAATTCGAATTGACAGGTCACTTAAGGTCTATAAAAACATCAATTTTCGGCATTTTTGTGTCTTTTATTGTGTTGGGGAGTTTTGAGGGTACCACGACACATGCGCCGCGACACTTGCGCCCGACACTTGCGCCGCGTCACTTGCGCCGCGACACTTGCGCCTGACATTTGCGGCGCGACACTTGCGCCGCGATACCGAGTTTCAGCTACTTGAAGATGCAATTTTTCGCGCGGAGTATTCTGGTTAAAGAAACGATAGAAAGATGTTTTTGCACTAGCAGTCACTCGATTTGGAGGGAAGGTAATTGCTACTTCTTCCGCTCTGCGACTAGAAAAAGGCTTCGGGCCACCCGGGGCCTAGTCGCTTCGGATGGGCGCGAGCTCGTACAGGGTTTCCAAATCGGGGCGCCCGAGGCGCGCGTAGCGGCCAGGCGTCCCGATTTCGAAAGAGTGGAGCGGCAGCCCATCCGAAGCGACGGCCCACCTTGCCGGACGCCTTTAGGAGTGCTCCGAATTGTCGTTACTCACTTTCTGTCAGCTTTTAATGCAAAATACAGTAATTACATACAAAATTCGGACGAAATACCAAATTCACTGCAGTTTAAATCAATGTACGATCCGCGGCGCAAGTGTCGGGCGCAAGTGTCGCGGCGCAAATGTCGCGGCGCAAGTGTCCGCGGCGCAAGTGTCGGGCGTAAGTGTCGCGGCGCATGTGTCGCGGCGCAAAAGTCGCGGCGCAAGTGTCGCGGCGCAAGTGTCCGCGGCGCAAGTGTCGGGGAACCGTTTTGATGCAAGTGGAAGGCCTGATTTCAGATATTTTGGGCACGTTTTATCGAGTTAAACTTAAATAACATGCAAAACTACTCAGAAGATGTTAGAACGTGGCTAAAGAGCCCGAAAATCCAAATTTTCTGCTTTCACATCTTTTTAAGGGGGGTTTCAATGGCTGTGAAGTCGGGCTTGGTATATAGGCGTAGTCAAGCGTATCAATTTAATTTCTAAGCGGTTTTCAAGTTTCCGGTACAAACTCTACAATAACAATTCCATTCTACGCAAGTTTTTGATTAGTTCCGAGGCTAGATATACTGTTTCTACGATTCTAAGGCCATTTGCCGAGCTCAAATTGCCCTCCATGCATTAGCGATCAGCCCCGCTGGGCTGGCCCGCAGAAAATCGATCCGTTTACGCAATGTTTACCCGTGGCTTGTCCCCTGCCCCGGCTGTTCGCCCCTTGTTTTTCCACTGGTCTTCCCGATTGATAAGCTGTGTCTACCATTCTAAAAAAACATTCAAAAATCTTGATTCTGAAATTCTACAAAAATGACTAAAGAAGCCGAGCCATTAGATCCGGATTCGAAGCTTTCCGAGCCGGTTAGAAGACATTCTAGCCTTCCAAAAGTAAGCCGGTACCTTGAATCTAAGCCTTAAATTTTAAATCGTAAAACTACAGGAAATTTGGAAGCATACCCAACCTAATTGGTTCCAAAAATTTAAAGTTGTATGTACTCCGAAGTCTCTAGTCTCTAGTAAAACATACGCTACGCTACGTTACAGATACCTCAAGTTCAGTACTAAAAGCCGTAAATACAGATAAAAAGTTGCATTATAATTTGGTTATATTATTAAGCCTGATTTTAGGGTTGTATTAATTGCCGAGCCTGCTTCACCAACTGGTCCATATGGTTTTCTGGAATTGCCACCATTATCACGTTGCTTTCATCAATTCTATTCACCTACTATTTCTCGAAGGCGCTTTCTGGATTTGCTAAACAGGTATGAAAATACTATAGCTAAATCTATGATTACTATACTGTTAATATGGGTGTAAATTTTTTAGATCAACGCATTCGTCAAAGTCGGGGACCTCGGCAACGTCTTTTTCCAGACCCTCGTCACAATCTTTGTAATCTGTTTCGTCACGTACCTATTTTTCGTTCATCTGGCGTCAGGTAAATTTGAATATGTAAAACCCGTTGCGCTTAAAACCGGAAAGTTTCTAGAGACATAATTTTTATTGCAGCAAAATTCTTTCGAAATTGGCTAAATAATTGTGGGACGTTGTGCATACTTTTTGGAAGCTCTGTCTTTTCACAGGTAATAAAGCTATAATAATCATTTTAAGTTAGATATACAATATTTTTAGGTATTCCTGATCTGCTGGGTTTTGGTCACCTGCTTTGTATCGGCCCTTACCCTCGTCTATTTCCTGTTCATCGGCGGAATCTATGGATTTTGCAAAGTGGTGGATACCGAGTGCTTCAATTTCAAGGTGTTGATCCCGGCTATCGTGAATCGCGTTAGTAATAAGGTATATTTTTCTACTAATGGCATTTTCTACGCTTTTTAGCAACTCGACATGACGTTTTGTCAAGACAAAAAAGAGCTACTGTGCAGTGGCGAAAATAACATGTTTGGCAACTTTTGCGCAGCGTTTCTGATGGCGGTTATTACTTTTTGCGGTATATTTGAAACCTTCAAACCTATTAAATCTATCGTAATTTCTGGATCCAAATTTTCAGGCTGCCTGGTCGTCCAAAACTGCGTAGTCTACGGTTTGGGCAAGAAAAATGCGAAGGCCAGAAAGCCGAAGGATGAAGCGTACCAGTTATCGGAAATGAAATAACTTTCGGTCCTTTTGTGCTTTTTTGATGTTTTTGAAAAGCTACTCATTTGCTAAGCGGGTTAATTTATCATTTTGCATGATTAGAATTTTTCCTATTTGCTTAAATAGTATGCTGTAGTTGTTTAAAAAAAATCGATGCTTTATTTACTTCCCCATTTCCTGAAATTCCTGACAAAACGACATGTCCGGTAGCGGGCCCTTTAGATTATCGAAACAGTTGATGTCTTCAAAAGTTGGGCGGTGGTTTACCTATCAAAAGAAAAAAAATTAAGCTTTGGTGCCCTATAAGCAACTTACGGTCCAAACTTCCGCTTCCCCCTGGCGTTTCTTGCTGCCTTTCGCTTATAGGTCCATTCACTCAGCTTTTCCGTGGTCACTTCTAGTATGCCATCTTTAGGAATGATCCCTAGCTAAAAACTACGTTTTGCGATAGGATGTCAAAACTCATTTTGACAAATTTGATTTTTTCGACATTTCCCTTTGCCAAGATGTTTTACCGCCGAGATTTTACGTGCTCGAAATCAGAATGCCGAAATTCGACTTCGACCAAATAAAAATGCCGACAAACTAAATGAATAATTTAGTTTGTCGGCATTTTAAGCTAAACAAATACTTTCGACCACATGAAACTAATCCGAAGATAAATGAAAAATAAATGAAACAATCAAAACATGTAACAAAGCCGGCATCAGAAGTTGATTTACCTCCATCTGCTCAAACTTGACCCGATTTGGGAGGGCGGAGAAATCGATTCCGGCTTTTCTAAATCGCAAAAAAGTCGTAGTTTGACCAATCGATCGAAGCCGAAGTCGTTTGACCAACCGATCCGAATTATACCAAAAGTGGACGGCTTCGTCGGGCTGAAATTGAATACGATTGAAGGAATACGGTGTTGTACCTTGTTGTGTTGCAGGAACCACAGAGTTTTTGTTCCACTAAAAACGTAAATTGTTCCGGCTATATTTTTTCTATAGTGCGTACCTGTATCCTTCTTGCGTTATCAAGATTACACTAACATTGTATTTTTCCTCAAACGCTAGTTCTTTCTCGTTGATAAATGGGAAATTCTAAATGAAGACGAAAATAAGGTTTGGGTGTGAAAATTTGGGGATACCCAGGGGCCTTGATGGAACCAAGCTTCAGCAGCTGCTACTTCTCCATTTAGCATGTTCTAAAAATAGCTTTTTATTGATTTAAAGTAATACCATTACCTGCAAACCTCGCAAGAAAAATGAAGAGAAGTTGAGACCGTACTCCCGACCGTACTCTCCTGATTTTAAATTCATGGAATGAACTCAGTCGATGAAGACGTCTTATAAAGTACCAGCCGCTTACTTCGGGCCACCCGCCTGTCCGCCCCTCCCCCTCGCCGAAACGCGTGCCACCTGGCTCACTATGCCCGAAACCGTACAAATAGCCGTTCTTACTACTAAAGTGCAAATATGGATTTTCAGAGATAAAAATTTTAGGTTTTAGTTTTTAGATTCTGTTCCTGATCAGTTTAAGGGTTTCTGGTCACGCTCTATCCGAATTCGAAGTGACCTAAGCTCTAGCCCCTTCCCTCTTCGAGTTGGATTCGGCTTCACACAGACGGGGACCACAGCAAATTATTATTACAATTATTATTCTTTCTCACCTCTCAAACGTAACCACTTCCATATACCAGCCCACTCATACACATCTTTCTACAAAAAAAATGTAAGAAATACTGACAGAAATCTACAATCATACCTCAGACGGATAGTCGCTATCCTTTCCAAAATAAAGGTCACCTTGAATTTCCGACAACAATCCCTAAATTTCAATCATTTATGTAATTAAAAAGGGTTAGCAGAGCGCAAGAATTCAAGATTTATTTTATGCTAAAAATTACTCTCCACGGTTCCGAATGAAGGATGTTCATAAACTGGGAAATATCAGTAGACTTAGCCAACTGGAAGCTGATCTTCATCCTTTGGTATGGTGCGCGAATGTTTCCTAAACTTATCTAGGTAATTAATTTTAAATTAGTGATTTGGCAAAGCGGCTTCTATTTATAATACCTATAGCTTCGATGAAGAAATCATAAAAATTTCCAAGGTGTGTGGTGCCATTTTCAAAGTCGTATTCAGCAAAACAGGTAGCGTGGACCCTAAAATAGTCCGGAGGAGTATTCCAATTACCCGATATCAAATTTGAAGCGAGCTCCAGTCGTGAATTCCACTGGCTGAAACAGTAATTTACAGGACTACAGCGTTGGCAATATACAATTAGGGTGGCTTCGATGGCGTTCTTCACCCAGCTTTCCCGCTCCTCCCTTGATACATTTTGCCCGTCCCTGATTTTCAGGACGATCTCGCGAAGTTGATCAGTGAGCGTTAGTTTCTGAATTGTATTGTAGTGGTATAAAATAGAGCTTTTTGATAGTATTTCTTATCGGATTCCTCGATACTTTCTTGTACTTCAATTTCAGAAATTTCCGATGCAACGAAATTGGATTCCAAAGAAACAGGCCAACGTTTTCCATGGGTATGGCTTTGGGCCCTACTTTTTTAAACGTAACGTTTTTGGTGACCTTCAAAACAAAATATACTGTAAATCACAACGTTATTTAGCCGTTTAACCCTGAAAACAGACCTTGATTGGCAAAACTCCAACGTTGACAGGGATCTGGGAATCAGTCCCATTTGCGATTGTTGCGTTGAATTCATCAAATGCATTCCCGACGCCGATAATCGTTATTAAGAGTATTATGCATTGCATTGGACTTTGACGAAGGAGGTTGGATATCAAATACATCGGTGGAATAGCGTCTCGTGACATGTTCATTCTTCGAAACACTGACAGTTCGAGGGAGAAAATGAGGCTAATTTGACTGTTTGGTCTCGTGGGTCACAATGCGGCGTTTAGACCACACCCACAAACGTCAAAAAGTGCTTAGAAAATGAGTCGTGTTGGCACGAGTTGTGAATTATCTATTGCGCTCAAAAAATCGCGTTTTTTTACCTATCCACGACTGTTACTTAATTTGCATTTTGTTCATTTTGTTTTTTTTTTACGTACTGCTAGCTGATCACCCATCTTTTTTTTGTGCCCGTTTTGTTTAATTTTTTTGGTATGTTTGCATCCTTGGTAAACTGATCAATTTCACTAATTGCTCTTTAATGCAGTTTTTGACCCGACTAACCATCTGTCCGATAAGAACTGATTAGAAATGATCGATCCCGCCCGCTCCTTGTCCTTGTCTGGCTTCCATTACGTGGTCTAATCGGTTCCTTTGCCGATTAGGACCTTCCATAATTTGTGCAAAAATGAATGTGATCAAGTTATTTTCAAGGAGACTTTCCACTGGACCGATTCCTGATTTTTTGAAGGTATGATTTCTATACGTTGGAAGTAGATTAATGAATTGTGTGCAGTAAAAACTGGCAAACTGCGGGTATTTGGAATAATCTTAATTAATTTTCGCGTTTTGATAGGTTAGCGATGAAGTGACAGCGGCCCTACATGAGAATAGGGCAATTGTCGCCCTGGAATCGACGATTATTGCCCATGGACTGCCATATCCGACAAATTTGGAGTAAGTTCTTAACCTAAGGTCTTCGAAATAGTTATTTCAGAACCGGATTAGAGTTGGAGCAAATTGTACGATCCGAATCAGCCGTTCCTGCTACGGTAGCGATTATGAATGGAAAGGTACGGTGTTGAAAAATAATAAAAACTAAAAAATTCGTCTTCATAATTAAGTCCATAAAAATGCATCATAAATAAAAAAAACCAGATAACCTGAGCAATTTAGGAACTATTTTGCATTTCAGGTTTGCGTCGGCCTCACAGAAGCTGAACTCTCCGAAATTGCCGAGTCCAAAAATGTGGCAAAAATCTCGAGACGTGATATGGCAAGGTGCGTGGCAAACGTAAGGTCTTGAATTTCAAAAAATATCCAAGGCCTAGAAAGCTCTGGGGGCAACTACTGTAGCCTCAACGATGTGGGCAGCTCACCAGGCTGGCATTCGGGTATTTGCCACCGGCGGAATTGGCGGTGTTCATCGGTATGCTCAAGAAAGTAAGTGAAAATCGTATTTTCATGCAAAGTATCATCTTGAGGTTTTGTCAAGGTAATAACGCTATTTTAATTCCCTATTTTTAGCGTTCGACATATCTGCCGACCTTCAAGAATTGGCTGCAACCCCAGTGACGGTAGTCTGCGCTGGCGTGAAGAGTATTCTGGATATACCGAAAACCCTGGAATATTTGGTAATTTAAAATTATTGTTAATGTTATTTTTTAAAATTTAATTGGATTATTTTTATTCCAATTTTTCTACATCTTAATTTTAGGAAACCCACAGCGTTAATACCATCGTCTACTCGACCAAGAATGATTTTCCCGCCTTTTTCGCTCGAGAATCCGGTTCCAAAGGACAATTTAGTACTATGGATCTAGCGGAAGCTGCGCGGATTATTGGTATGAAAATTTTACGAACTATTTTGATACAAATAACGTTAAGAAACATCAAAATCCCTTGGTCTCCCTGCCGGCACCATTTTGGCTTGCCCGATCCCAGAGGAATTTGCAGCAAAGGGAAAAGTCATCGAAGAGGCGATAAAACAAGCTTTAGAAGAGGCTAGGTACCGTTTTTAGATGAATAGTTTTACGAGCCATTAATCACGCTTTTTACAATATTAAGGGTGTCGAAATGTGTATATAGTAATTTTAGAGCTCAAAATATCATGGGCCAAGCGACCACCCCGTTCCTGCTATCGCGAGTGAAGGAGCTGACCGGTGGAGAATCACTAAAATCGAGTTAGTTTCAGCTATTTAGTTATAGAAAGTTTTTTTTAGATGTTGCCCTTGTCAAAAATAATGCCAAAATTGCTGCGAAATTGGCAAATCACTTGGTGGGACGGTCGAAAAATAGTGAACCATCGCAAAGCCCAGCCATCGCTGCGCGGAAGCGGGAAATTCAAAAGCCGGTGAGGCCGAAAGTTGTAAGTTCTAATTTTTATCAAGTCTTTAATTAAATTATGAATCTCTCAATTTTATGTTGCTTAGTTTTTATAGTAAAGAAAAAGTCGTATCCTTATTTTAGGTAACCATCGGTGCGGCAATCTGTGATTTCGAAGCGATCACCAGTGCTGACGTTAAGGTAAGTAATTTTCATATACCTTTGATAGTTTTATGTACAAAAATAAGGCACACAAATCACAAAACACACTCGTTTCTATGTACAAAAATCCGTAACTTCATCTAATTATAAAAATTTCCGGTTTATGCGATTAAAATTTTGCGCTCTGGCGTCCCGGGTTCGCAATAGTCCTCATCGTCCTCATCATGCCTAGAATCGATTTTTTTAAGGCTTAATCGAAAATACAACGACGATTTTATCACATTACGACATGTTATTCACCTTATACGAATGGGTCGCTGCTTATGGAAAATCTAAAAGGAAAAAGAGCGCTTGAAAATGAGAAGTTACCTATTTTAGCTATTTTGAGAATTGCTTACTTGTACAACTTGGCGTGATTTGAGTAGACAATCTCGGAGAAAAGCTCCCCAATATCTTCCCTAAATTTCAAAAATTACAGCGATGGATTTAGGCGTACCGTAGAACCATTACGACAATTATTTTCAAGGGGAAAAGTACAAAGAATATGATGATTCCGACAAAATCCGTTTTTGTGTGCATCCATCTAAAAGTTAAGTTTTTATATTCTCCAACCATCCTACCGTAGTATGTTAGCATTACATGGGTGATGGGTTTGCTGACAAAGCGTAGGGATCGTCCAGAGTTGACCTGAATTTCAGGTAAATGGCCTTGACTTGACTTACCTTGACTGCAAATTTGGGCCAGAGCCTTTGGGGTGCAGCAGCTTAATTTTTCTTGCATCGCCGTCCATAGTGAGCATGTAAAGGTTCCATCCTCTGTTAGGTGTTGGACGATGCGTTCTTCGAAATGATCATGGAAGGTTGAGTGGACGTTCTAAAGAAAAAACCCATCTTTATCTGTCGCCATTTCACTTTCTCTCTTTCTCTCTCTCGCTCTCTCTCTCTCTCTCTCTCTCTTTCTGTCTCTCTCGCTCCGCCTCACTTGCTCTCTATCTGTCCTAACGCTCTCTATATCTCTTCCTATCTCGCTCTTGTCCATCTCTCTCTCTCTCTCTCTCTCTCTCTCTCTCTCTCTCCCTCTCTCTCTCGCTTTCTCTCTCGCCTCACCTTCATTCTAAACATCAACAACGCAGCCATAACCACATCAAAGAATAACAGCGGTATCATCAGCAACCAGTAGATGGTCAATAGAGACTTGTTCGAGAACAGCACCCCCATGATCCCGACGATGCAGGCAAAGTACTGTTTTGATAGAGAGACTTTGGAAACATGATCTCTTTACTTACCTGGACCCCAATCTGGATCTCCAGGGCGATGATGGTCGGGTGGTCCTCCTCGAACGGGATGTATTGCCACCATTGATGGGTGAACATCCCGTGGATCCACCACACCATCATCGTCTAGAATTTGTTAAAGTTCTTCTGAAGTTAGGGAGGTTATGGGTCTCGCGATTTTGTAACTTATCGAGCAGGTGAAGGGATTTTTCGCTCTTTCTGCCGTTTTTGTGATTGTTTGGGGCTTAGAGGACCAGTGAACTCCGGGGAACTACGGATTTAGTTTTTTTTTGAGTCTTCCGCGAGGAGTTGAAAAGCTTTCGAAGTTCTTCTAGTTGTAGATATAAAGTATTGCAATAAAGTTTTGCAAGTCATTATTAATTACAAAAATTCTAAGGGGAGAGTGAATCCAGAGAAGCCATGGAAATCGAAATCAGGATATTTTTGGTAAGGAGCTTTTTGCAGTATTTCCGCTTTTTTCGTGTTTCTGTCACTTTTTGTGTGGCGGCCAGTAATGTGTACGGATCGGGCGCACAGGGTCAGTATGACAAATTGAAAAACATACCTGAAAAACAATCACCAAACTGTTAACGGAGTAGATCCACACCCGGTAGTACCGTACCGGGGTCATCCTCGACCCGTCGCCGACACCGTTTCGAAATGAAATGGCCATCTTGGCACGTGCCCTAAACATTAGATTCCGCACCTCGTTTATGACCTGGGAACGGCGGGGAATATTAAAGGAAAACGGCCAAGCCAAGCACCCGAATGCGGAACGGGACGGAATCTCAAGTGAATGTGGTTGACCCGGGGCACGCTCGGATTTTTTTCGAAAAAAGCGGACCGGCACGCATAACGGGAATTCGAGGAATTGAATCAACTTGAAATTTTCGTGTGAATTGGGTCGTTCTTTTCAAGGATTTCGGAAGTCAGCAGCAAAATAATTAAGTTTAAGAAATATATTATTTATTAAATTTAGCAGTCCACCCGCGACACGCAACGTAAGCCATCCTTTCAACGCCCGCGCTCTGCGTGTCGCGGGGGTAGGCCCGTAGGATATCCATTTTCGAAATAGTCCGTCGTTAGTTTTGCGCTTCCCACTAAACAAAATTTCTGCATGTCAGCGCTTTTCACAGTTTAAAAATAGAGTTTGATATTTAACTATTTTGAAATATTCCGCAATTAAAACAAGGCTTCAGCTGTTGTATAATCAAATTTAAAAGTTAAATAATTTAAAAAACAGGGGGATAGAAACGTGAAATCTTTAAAAGCCACTTCTTAATTCTCCGATTTCCCAAAATTCCAAACCGAAATATGAAATTTTATACGTCTGCGGAGAGGGTGTGGGATTTTTTTCTTGCTGAAAATGATGAGGTCCCTGCGCGCCCACCCTTTCGCAGAAATAGAAGATCTTCCCCAAAAAGGCAACGGGGCTGACGACGTTGCGGGATTCCCCCTTATCAAAAAACCAATTCAAGTTTGGAAAACTATCGGACCTTAGGGAATTTGGAAAGGACCTTACAAGGAGACGTTTCTGAGTGTCGTCGGGACTTTGGCACGGGACCAAGCCTATCTTGCGCAGAATTTTACGCAGATTCCGAAAATGGTAACCGTTTTTGCGGAATAGCCATTTCTCGAAAGTTATGAACGATTTAAACCTCAAAACAGCCCAAAATCGGCTACTTCCGATCGTCATAAAAGGCTTCGGAATAGGTTTCAGACAAAACCAGATAGTGCTTTTGTTTAAAAAAAATCTCTATAAAGTAAGCTACTTAACTCAAAAATGTTGGAATTTTGAAAATTTTTGTAAAATAAGGGATTTGAAAATTTATCAAATTTTTCTAACTTTTCAATGATTTTGGAAAAGATGGTACATTTTATAGAGAATTTTTTTCTGAACAAGATTTACTATCTGGTTTTGTTTAAAACCTATTCGGAAGTAGCCGATTTTGGGCTGTCTTGAGGTTAAGATCGTTCATAACTTTCGTGAAATGGCTATTCCGCAAAAACTGTTAACATATTCGGAATCAGCGTAAAATTCTGCACAAGATAGGCGTGGTCCCATGCCAAAGTCCCGACGACACTCAAAAACGTCTCCCAAAGATGGAAAAATTAAGGATTTTTGCGTGTTATGACGGCGAGGGGGTTTTGGAAATTGTTATTTAGAGCATGACGGCAAAAAGGGTGGAACATAACTTAGAATAAGCGTATTTTGGAGGGGGTATGTAGGCAATGACGAGTTTTGTGGCCGGAAGCCTCGAGAAAATTCTTGAAATTGTTTAAAGGAAATTCAATGCTATTTTTTTGCGAATTTTGAAAAACTGAAAATTTAAGAAAATCCGAAAAGCGTCTAGCGCCTTATTTTATGATTCCAATATGGTTTTACCTTTGAATTTTTAACATATATCGACTCAAAAAGCCACTTTCAAACTTTTTTGAATCAATGCAATTTATTAACTCTATTATTAATTCTTTTCGCTAATCCTACCTTATATAATTTTGGCGTGTAACTGTGTGTGTGTGTGTGTGGATGTCACTTTCGAGGCCCGATTTGTCGGCCTTCCCGTGCATGAAATGCCCCAATTCTCCGTCACCCGGGGTAATCGACCCTTCTGTTTCCGATGACGTTCTCAGAATTTCGAAAAAATACAAGTTTACAAAGTTAAAGCCGGTTTTATTCATTTTTGGGGGGTAATTTGCTTAATGTGAAAAAAATACAAATTTCCTCATTCTTGCAATTTCCACGCGCGTGTGTGGTCGGCCCGGGGGGGGGGAGGGGTCCGAAAGACCCGAGCTACCGGAAAGTCAAATTTTTCATGCAAAGGCCCAATTCCAGCGCCCAAGGCCCGCGAAGCGGGTTTTGGGCGCTGGTCACTAAATAAAATATCCATTCGAATCGCGAAAATTGTGGAGTATTCAAATTTCCACAGGTGAACTTATCATTGGATGACACCGCAGTAAAAATTAGACTTTGGAAAATTCTAGTAACTAATCCCGGTCCTACTGAAGGTGTTACCACCATCCTGAGACCGCAACCACCTTAAAAAAACAAATTCACCCCGCGGGCAGACCCGTTTGTGATGCTTTTGGAAAATTGGATAGACACGACTAGGTCCAGGCCACCAGGGACTAACTGCCATCTTTTCCTAGCCTCTCATCCAGGGAATAGATAGGGACGGCGAGAAAATAGAATGTTGGTCAACGCCTTGGCTTCAGACACCCCTCAAGCGGACCCAGAAGGTTCCATTGTCAAACGTTTACCCATCGGCTTCACACACCTCGGGCGGCCCGATTCGAAAGAGGTGTGTGACGCCGGGAAAAAAATTAAAAGTATCACGTCCCCCGATCGGTGGCGGGGAGTTCTGTTTGGTGAAGTGATTTGTAGATGGAACGGCAGCCAAATAAATATTCTAGAGCCCCGGGGTTTTAACTTCCTGAATTAAGTTTCATAAAAAACGGAAAATCTTAGATTTAAAACCATCAAAAGAACAATTTATTTCTCTTTGGCGTGGATTTTTTGCGAATTTTCGAGTGTTCCGCGCCAGTTTTTCAATTGGGTGATTGCAAAAAAATCACAATTTCGCTTGTCGGAGGAGCCTGAAGCAAACATTTTTATGCCTCTTTCTTACAAATTTTCAATCTTGCAAATTTTGCCAAAATTGCAGGAGAATCAGCCTAATTCGCTTATGCTTGGCATGCCAAATTTTAGAAACACCTTTTCCAACAATAAAAAATCCAACAAAAACCTATTTAAGATTTTTTTGAATTCTGAAAGCTGAACACAAGCGCTGGCCTCTTCTCCGAACCCCGACTAGCAAAAAGAAACCGCAAAAACTTCCAGTCGCCACCAATCTCGTTAAGTGCATTAGGAAGCGCCCCAAAATTCGAAGATCCCCTTCTTAAATCCAATTTTCAAAAAAGGCCAGCTAGTGGAACGGATTTTCCTTGTTTTCCTGCCTAAGCTATAAAATTTGCCTAAAACTTTGAGCGCCGGAATTCCTTGAAAACAGTACTAAAAAAAGTCGCAATTTGCTGCCTACTGTTGCAACCGGAGTGATATCGCTACTTTTTATTTCCAGTTGCAACCCCGAAAATTTCCCAATCACGGTCTTGGTGATCAGCACCACCTGGGAGGGGGAACGCGATACGTTTGCGCTTCAGCTTTTTTGCGGCAGACAAAAAAAACTGGGGCTCTAGAAAACGGGAGCACGGGTAAATATGGTGGGCTGTGAGAAAGGGGATGGGGTGTCTGACACAAATCAGCAGATCGTCACCACATTGAAAACGCAAAAATTGTAGCAAACCTAAAAAATCAAATTTTTGCGAGGCCGGTAGGGTATGGAATTGGGATTTGTAAGTCAGCGTACAACAGAGGTTTTTAAAAGCGGTAGTGCCAGTCGCAAGAAATTGACAAAACTAGCGATGTAGGATTAAAATTGTCTAAAAATTGTTTTTCCTGGAATACCTTTAAGCACGAAAAATTACAAGCATGTTTAGAAGCATAAAATAGTCTTAAATAGTCCAAAAAATAGACAATGTTCAGACTCAAAAAAAATCGAGCCCTTCTCAACCTTTTAGCCGGAAGTTCGCGATTCAATTTGTAGGCACTTGACGAGGGAGCTAGACGGCCCTACTCTGCCGGCATGACACATAGGAGACACCACTGTTAACACAGTTGTGCCACCTGTAGATTATTGAACTGTACCCCAACAGTGTCACAGCTGTACTTGGGGCACCCACAGCAGTGCCACCACTCGGCCACTGCCATGCATACCCCAGCATAGCGGTGGCACCGCAGAAGCACAGTTCATGCTCCTCGCACTTCCCAAACCAATTTCCGAGTGGAAATTGGTTTGAAAAGTACTCGGAGTTGATCATGAGCACCAAATAGCAAGGGTATTCAACCCCAAACACGGAAAAAGTACACGGAAAAAGATAAGTAAAATTTTTATACCGACAATACGTCAAAGGTCAAATAAAAGAGTATGGCACTTCACTGCTAGCGGGGGGCGGATTGTATAGAATTTCTTAGGTCTATTCTGCCCTGTTCTTCTTTTGAAAATTTTCCTAGGCCGGATATGCCCCGAAAAAACGACAAAATGTTTTTATGCAATTCTTCACTGAATTAGAGAATAAAAACATCCTTAGAAATTGAAAATTTTTGAAGTTTCGTAGAAAATTAAAGAAAACTTATTCAAAATTTGCTAAATTCGGTCTTGTAAAAAGGAATATTTATTTCTTATTACAGAAAACTACGCAAACTGCAAAAATTCTTTCTTGTTTAGTCGGGAATCGGCACAATCAGAAAAATAAGATATTTGCCGTCCCCCGCTAACAGTGAAGCACCAAGAAAATAAAAAAATGAGACTTGCATGTCTGTCGTTCGTCGTCGCCCTTCACCAGCCCACTGCCGGCCACCAATTCAACGTCTGGGCGTCTTCACCGAGGGTGCGTACGACTAAAAAGACTTTATTTATTCGCTAAACATACTTTAAAAAGATAATAGATATAAGTATAAAAAATCAGTCTATGAATACAAAATATCTACTAAAAAGGAATAAAGAAATACCCTGGACTCCTCAGGAAACTAGCGCGATGACCATTGACGGGCTCTCGTCGCAATTCCTATAAAAAATGCCTGAAAATACACAGAAAGTAAATACCTCAGCCCATCATGATGTCATCATCTGATATCAGAGATTGCCGCGAAAAATCGTTGAGCAATTCATCGGCCTAAAATCACCATATTGAGACAAGATTAAATAAGACACTCTAAACCAATCAAGAATTTGAAAAATATACCATATTCTCGGCCTCTACGCCGGCGAGCTGTTGATTCTGACCGGGTTACCTAGAAATTATAAGTCACGAACACAAAAAAAACATACTTTTATAATGCGCGGCGTCAATGAGAGGCATACTTGACGGGTACTTCATCCGACTGCGGCGCCATGCTAAAACAGAGATAGTTAGAAAATTAAAGGTTAAAATACCTGAATTCCCAAGTACATCTTGACAAAAATGACTGTGCCGAAGAGATCTAACCTAAAATACGCGTTTTACAGCAAAAGGAATGACCAACGGACAAAAACAAACACATAATAGAAAACGAACGTACCTGAACAAACAGAATCACTAGTTCTGGCGGTCGCAGCAACTCGAACGTCAATCTGCAGTTGCTTTCCGGGCGTCGATCGCATCGCATTCCTAAACAATAACAAAAAATCGTACCTGGGTTTAGCAGAGTAGACGCATAAACCGTTGTCGACATCTTTTCGTGGTGACGTTGAATTCCTAAACCACAAACTTACTAAAAATGTTACATAAACGTACTTTTAGGTCATCGCGACCAAATTTACATCATTTCTTTCCGTTTTCCCTCGCTGAACTGAGGAAGTTGCCTGAAAATCAAAGTATCAAACAAAGAAAACATTGCAGTAAAAGAAAATGAAACAAATATAAAGCGAGATAATCAGAAATGACTTGCTTTCTACTTTTTATCGCGAAAAAGTTACAAAATGCGTGCATAAACTTCGATTTCATTCCGAGTTTTCGTCGATTTGCTTCTAAAATCATCAAAACTTGTGCAAATAGGCTTTATTAGCAATAATCTATCAAATAACTAAACGAAACAACAAATAAACGCATTTTTTATAAAAAATTTCAACCAAAAGCAAAGTTTTTTGAAAGAAACCCTGGCGGAAACTCGTTGTGCAGAGCGCATGTTATCCCAGCGTTGGGTGTAGCCCCTCGTACTCGAGCTCCGATAACACCTAAACGCGCTCCCACCCCTTGAAAACGAGCAAATAAACGTGTTTCCGTGTGCCTGTAACATTCCGGTGGCATCCGGAACGAAAAATAAATTTTAGTAAAAATTTTTATTTTTGACCCAAAAAAAAATGACTAAGTCCCGGGCCACAGCTGTGATTCCGCTCCGGGATGCACGACACAGCTGTGATTCCGCTCCGGGATGCCCGACACAGCTGTGACACCGCACTGGGGCGGCGGTAACGGAGACACAGCTGTGAGTGAACGCGAGCTGTGACACCGCTAAATTTTCCTAGCTACACAGCTGTGCCACCGCTAAACGGCCACTCACAGCTGTGTTTCCGCTATTAGCGGTGTCTCCTATGTGTCATGCCGGCAGAGTAGGCAAGAAAAGAGGAGAAGCTCAAAAAGGCCCAGACGAGCACGTGGACGGGTGATTATGAACTTTTGCAAAGATCTCCGAGGGAATCCCAGGAACGCTGTGCTCAAACTCTAATAATTCGCCTGGGGTGAGCAAAGTGTAAATAGGTGTAGGAAATGGAGCTTTTTAGTGCACCAAACGCCACAATAAAACTTTGCACATTTAACCGAAGGCTCGAAGTAGACGTTTGCCTATTTTTTTCGTATGAAACTAAAGCTTTTGAGTCTGAATACTCCAATTAAGGTAGACTGCTTTTTTTCAAACCGGTTAATACTATAACAAATAATGTACAAGGTACGCGAAACAATGCTTAAATTCGAAGAAATTCCTAGATACGGTAGCAAATAAACAATAAAATACCGTAGGAGACAGTACGCAACGTCAAATTAAAGTATCGTAACGTACGCAACGGGTCACACAAAAACCATACGAAAATCGGGCCTCTCTAGATGCAAAAATGTCCAAATTTTTAGAATGACGGCGGCTCGTACCCCGGAATTGTGACTCAACGGCCAGGAGGTGTGGGCCGGAATCATGCCGACGTTATGGCGAGGTATAAACATATATTAAACTCGTAGACATCTAAATCGCTAATTATTCATTAGTATTTTTAACCAATCGCTCTTACGACTTACTACTATTAGTCAGCCTCCTAATTTCCAATTTCTAGACTCGGCCTCGATTCCGCCCTGTTGACCTACGTCGGAAATGACGAGAACGGGCGTTTTTTGAGGCGTACTGGGCAGCATATTGTAGGCAATTCTTTATCTTTGATTTAGATTGATTTCTTTTTTTTATTAATGAACATAAACCCCTTTAAAAGAGTATTTAGGACCTCTCTGGCGTCAAAACCGTAGACGCACCAACGGCAACCTATTGTGCGATAAACATGCGCGGGAATGTGCGCTTTGGGATTAGCTGCATCGAGGAGATTATGGGCAAAATGGGCCCGGAAATTGTAGGTGTTAATTACGAGTTTATTGCTATTTTTAGGTCCACGCAAACATGGATCTACTCGAGGAAGCGGATTTCTTGGTGATTGACGGGAATACGAACGTCGAGACGCTAAAAGAAGCGATCGAGGTTGCATATCGCATCAACCTGCCGAGTGAGTTATGATTTTAAAATTGGACTAAGAACTTTATGAAATCACCACAAGTAAGAATTAACGTTTCAATTAGCTAAAGAAATTGATAAACCTGAAAGTATGCAAAATATGCTTCCATTTTGTTCCAACTCCGTGAGTTTTTCCTGTCTAGTTTTCTGACTTTTGTAATTAGCTTTTTCGATGGATCAGAACTATCGATTAATGCTCTTTCAGTCTGGTTCGAGCCCACCGATATCGACAAAATGCAAAAGCTCTTCAAAGCTGGAAACATTGAGAAAGTCTCGGTGACCTCCCCGAATTTGAACGAATTCCGAGAATTGTGTCGCTTTTCTGGTGTCGCTACCCAGGGTAAAACTCGATTTCTCTTCAACAAGCCTCAGTTCAGAAAGCTACTTCACCTCCACATTTTCTATGCAAAAATTCATCCACAAGCACCACGAAAAACTGCCCAGCTTCCGGCTGCTCGTGGTCACCATGGGCGAGAAGGGCGTTGTTGTTTGTCATAGGTAACTGAGTCTATAGCCTTATTTTGCATTAAAAAACAGCTATAGTGAGAGAAAAGTAAGAAAATCTACAAAACACCATCATTCAGTTTTTTTTTGCAAAAAGACCCCCACCTAAACCTACCTAAAAGGGGGAGAAAATTGATAAATTCATTGGTTCCAAATAATTTTCTATTAAAAAATATCAGGAAAACTGTTATATCAGACGGTCCAAAACGAAACATTGAAAATTCCCGGGTTCCTTTGGAAAAACCATACAATGTCTTCAGAACTGGAAATGGCTACGATATTCTCACTCGACCATCACCTCTGGGCAACTCTGAAATTGTCTCTGTTTCAGGAGCGGGAGATTGGTGAGTTTGAACGACGTAGTGAAATGTTAATTATGCTTGGACCTTAATCTGTTAAGTGTTTTTGCGATTTTCAGTTGGAATGGCGGATTTCTGGCCGGCCACCTGACCGGACGAGACCTTAATGGCGCGATAAATCTGGCCCAAGAAACCACGGCGAAGTCGTTGAAATCGACCCTTGCCGTACCAATCGATATTCGGCCAATTCTGTGATATAGACATATGGGTTTTTAGGATTGATTTTATTTCGATAAAGGAATTTTTAATCGCCAGATTTTACTACTTTTGTACTTTACTTTAATTAAATTTAAAGACTCCTCAATCAGTTAAAGTACGATGTTTGGAAAAAAAGGTGTTTTCGCTCTCTCTCTCTCTCTCTCTCTCTCTCTCTCTCTCTCTCCCTATCTCTCTCGCTCTCTCTCCCCTCTCTCTCTACGTCTCTCTCGCCATTTCTTTTCCTCACGGTCTGCATAAAGCAAGTTTATCAACAAAAGCCATTTGTTTAATAAGACATCAGAATCAACAACGGCGCAAAATCCGATTATTTCCCCTCGAGTAACGACGTGAGCTCGACCACGCGGAGCTCCAGTTTTCTGATTTTCCCCTCATTCCTATCAAATGCTTCACGAAGCTTCCGATAGAATCCCTGGCTCCAGTCATCCACAATGCATTCGCCCTGCTGGCAGCTCGCGTAGGCTGGGCACGAATTTGGATCAAGGACGCATTGTCCGACCTGAAGTTACTACGTTAATTTGATCCTTTCAATGTATATTGGGTTTTTTTGTTTTAATGTAGCCAAAATCGTAAGAAAAACCTCTTAAGATCAAAAAGTCATAAAAATCAGAGAGCGTTTAAAGACTGCTAGAACTCTGGAACGCACACTGTCACCCCGAGGGTGAGGTCCCCAAGAACGCGCAGAGAGAGGCGTCATTAGTAGCGCCCCGTGGTTAGGGCACGTAATAGGAAAAGACTTTTGAAAAAACAGTGCACTATTTGTAGCTTTATGTATACTCTGATATATATCTCGCAATCCCTCAATTATATAGTTGGCTCGTTAAAATAGGTAATTCTGGAAAAAATGGCTAAAAACACAAGTCAGGACCCCCGGTCAGGGGCGCGGGATAGGAAAGGACCAGCACCCCGCGCACTTTCCGTCCATCGCCATCTGAGAGGGGATTTCCTGGACGAGCCAAAAAACAGGCCACAGTAGGACGGATTTTCCGATGGTTTTGGCGTCACTCTACAATATTCTCACTCTCTCTCTCTCTCTCTCTCTCTCTCTCTCTCTCTGGCCCTTATAGGCTCTTGTAATTTGGTTGATTTGATAAGCGCTGTAGTGCCGGGGGGCCTGGGTAAATAGAGCAACCAGACAACAAATCAGAATTATTAGCCCTCGGGGCAATAAATAAGGAATGACGTTTGGTTTTGAAGAATAGAGGGCAAGGTAAATATTTTGCGGGATTGAATATGGGATATTGAAGAAATAAGAAAGAAAAAAAATAAGAAATAATAGCCCCCATAATTCGTCAGTGAATGCGGTCGAGGAGTAATTTAGCCCCGGGCCTTGCTTATTAATAAAATTATACATCAACTTCTTATTGAGCGACAGAGCTGTGAAGTCTGCCAACATTTTTTGACTTGCTCCATAGCATAAAAGGTAAAAAATTTAATCATGCAAACTAGCCGAAATCGAAAAAAATAAGATGAAACTCACAATCGGTCGCCTTTGCTGAGGTTGTACAACATATAGTAAGTAGGCAGTATGTCTTAGGTAGAACTAGGCGAAAATGTGGACAAAAATGCCTGCAACAGGAGCACAATTCAAAACTATATATCGATTCATTAACTCTATGTATTAAAAAATCAATAATTCTTTGCAGCCGTCCAAAGCCCGCGAGACCAAATTGGCAAGCGCACCGAGCAGCAGCACTATGTGGAAATTAAACAGGTACCACCTACGCTATACGTTTTTAGGGCTAATTCCAAGCGCTCCAAACCCTAATGTATTTTCATGTTTTAGGAACACGCCGACTCAACAAGCACCGGCTATTTCGATCCGTTTTTCATGGAGGCACCGATGATCGACTCGTTTGCCGATGTGGTATGCCCTACCTTGAAAAACCAAAATCATAATTCTATATTTAGTTTTTAACCGAAGAGCAAGCAATTCCGATCCTAAAGAAAATCCAGCAAGGCTACAACGAGTTGCGGGCAAAACGGGCTCGATATCGATACGAGGCGCCGATGGAGGATCCGTTGATCATTGGAATGGTACGGAATTTGGAGGTCTTATAGAATTTTGGGCTACGGTTTACTTTACCCCCCAGCCGGAAGTTTTTGGCTATAACTTTTTTATTTTACATTATTGTAGGCTCAAATTAAAACTCTTAGTATATTTTTCGACGCTCTATCGAATGGCGTTGCGAAAATCCCGGCGGAAATACCGACAACTTTGAGACCCTTCGGCTGTGGGGGGTAAAGTAAACTCTTACCGAATTTTGGCTCGACAGTGCCTTTAAAATCAGGATAATCCACTACATGCTATATTCCATGCTTTCATATTCCCTTTAAAGTACCATTCTACACAAAAATTATTTCAGGACCCCCACACGCCGCGAAGAATCACCCACCGCCACGGATTCCGGATGCTAGCCCACGATAATGAAAATATTTGCGATTTCATGAGAAACTCATTCCCGAGGCTTCACGATTTCGCGCCGGAACAAAGAGTGGGAATTTAGCTGTCTAATTCAATACTTTAAATCCCAGAAAGTCCTCTACCGATCCTGTTTTGCCAGCTACATGCTCTTCGACTCGGCGTATCGGACCTATTTACAGGGCGGTGACCAGAACGATCGGTGAGTTTTGCGCTCATCTAACTATGTATATATAAAAAATAGTTTTTGTCTGTGTAGATTTGCATGAACTTCCGTAAGTATGTGCGGGACCTACAACCTCAGGGGAAGGTTTTTAAGCTATGTTTGATATGTCATTAGGTGCGCAATGGTCCCGAGATGAGTACACACATATAAAATGCAGGAAAGTCGGCTGTTTTCGCTATTAAAATTAAGTTTTTGTAAAGATATCGAAAAACCTGTTTTTTATGAGGCAATTTGCATACTCCGCTATAAAGGGGCCAGCGGGGCTTTTCATTTTTTCGATCCAAAACTCGGGAAGAAATATGCAAATTTTTACTGTGATGTGAGTTAGACGGGGCCAGGGTTGGAAAGCCGCGAAGCGGTTTTTTAACACTGGTTTTCAATAGCTTTAATCCGTAATTATAGCTTAGTTAGCGTTTTCGTTTTCGACGCTAGCACCATAATATTTTATCACACTCTCAATCACCAAAAAAATTTCGAAAATCGAGTAACTTTGAAACGACCTAAATTCTCTTTTTACGGAATCCTGCTCTATATTTTTCTCACCCGTTTCCGCTTCCAGTTGGTACATCTCCGATGGGAACTTTATCGACATGGCCGATGTCGGGTACTACTACTCGGCGTTTGAGGGTTCTTCATTATCACATACTGATGCGTCCAAGTAAGATACCCCCAAAATTTTTCACCCTTTGTATACTCGAATTCCTATCCCTGTCCCGTCCTCGGCAAAAAGGCTAATATTTCTAGCGATTTCAGCCTCTTCCGGCCGACGTTCCAGATGTTCGTGCGGAATATCTTGCAGCCGATGCGGCAGTTGAGGATGACAGGTTTGGATCTCGATTAGAAATCCCAGTAACAATTCTTCAAAATTCTCAACTACTGTTAAAATCGAAATTTAACAACCGATTATGCTGTATAAATTCTGCTTTAGATATGGAATTCTTTGCCCTCATTGCGTTGTGTTTCTACTCGCACGGGGCCGACGGCGGCACGCACGATACGGATCAGAAGACGATGGAAGTACGAGACGCGATTCTACGGTAGGTTCAGCGAGTTCGGTAGCGTACTGGGACGTACCGTAACGTATCGTATACTTGAGCGTACTGTAGCGTAGAGTGCCGTACTACGGCACACGTCTAAGTCTAAGCTATGCCTAAGCAAAGCCAAACCTGAGCCTCAGCTTAGTATCGGTCTAAGTAGCAGCTAAGCCAAAGCTAAGCATCGCCTGACCCTAATTGTAAGCCAATCCCGAGCTAAGCCCAAGCTAAGCTTAAGCTAAGCCTAACTAGAAATTTAGTCTAAGTCAAGCCTAAGCTCGGTCAAAGCCGAAGCATAAGCCTATTAAAACCTCTTTTTTTAGCGAGCTGACCCTCTACTACACCCGCTTCGCCTACTTCAAGGACTACCCCCTGCGAATGGCCCAAGTCATGCTCATGCTCCCCTCAATTCACGTAAGTTTTTGAAGCCTTTGTAGCCAGAAAAGCATCAATTAGGGCTTGAACATCCTCAAAAATTTAATGTATTTTTAGCGCATCACCACCCGATTCCGCGAAGACTTCGAGATCAACAAGCTGTTCAACACGGATTTCGGCGACGAGAAAATCTACGATCTCATCAACGGCAAAGAGACTTACTGAGATTTTAGTTGTGCTCCCCAGATTTTTAGGCGATTATGAAAAAAGCCCAAAGCATGTTCAAACGGTTTCGCGCTACGGTGGGCAGAAGTGAAATGTCGAACAGAGGGAAGGTGGGGAAGTCGTGATGATAGTTAAAAAGTGACTAATTTAGCAGTTTTAAGCCCGGCGGGCTTAGTATTTAGGCGGAACTTAACGTAGTTAGCTTGTCATGCTAGCTAAACTTTCGGAGCTTGATCTGGCTTGCTGCATACTTCTTGGCTCGATATGCAAATTTAATTCCCGGTTAAGAGGACCCGGTGCAGAATTTTTCGCTGTATCCGAATCTGTTTTCAAAAATGCGGAAAATACCATATTTTTCAGTTGTCTAGGCTTAAATTGGAAATTAGGAAGATGCAAACTGTCTAAAATTGTCTCCTTTTTTTGTAAACCCGCTTTGAAATGTAATGCCCATTTAAAGCCGGGGAAAATTCTGCCAAAAATTCGCTGAAAAATGTTTCTACTTTGTATTAAATTTGTAAAAAACGCATGAAGCTTTTGCCTAGTTTTTACATGGCGTAATTGAATCACTTTTCAAGGGATCATGCTAGCGATTTGTCCTCATCAATCCGAATTTCAATTCACGATTTTTGACCACCGAGAATGTTCGAATTTTCGCTCCTCCCCAAATTTTTCTGTTTGTTTTAATGCCAATGCATATACAAAATAAATCACTCCTCAAACGGCTCGTGGCAGACTATTTTTTCTGGGTCTATTTCCTTTGTTTTTCTTTATTTCTGAGTCCCAATTTTTTTCCCCCACTTTCCGTTCACTTGTTTTTCACGTTCTCCTCTATCTTCCCCATTTTTTTTTGTGAATCGTGCTGCGGGGAGGGGATTTTCGTCGTCTCCCCGCAGCGGTCCCCTCTACTACCTAGCAACCTCAATTCCCCCTCCGCCTCAAGAAAACACATCATCATCCGATTCGCTTACATACATATTTCTGGTATTTTTCCTTATACTACATATTTGTGAATAAAGTTTTAAATATTACTGTACTACGACAATTTTAAGCGACTGATGGGAAACGCGGAAAGGACGTCGAAAAAGTAAAAAAAGCCAACAACCCCAATTTTCGGACCTTTTAAAGGGAAAATCAAGTTTCGACAACAATTTTGAAGGATTTTATCCATTTGTACGTAATTCGAATTGACAGGTCACTTAAGGTCTATAAAAACATCAATTTTCGGCATTTTTGTGTCTTTTATTGTGTTGGGGGAGTTTTGAGGGTACCACGACACATGCGCCGCGACACTTGCGCCCGACACTTGCGCCGCGTCACTTGCGCCGCGACACTTGCGCCTGACATTTGCGGCGCGACACTTGCGCCGCGATACCGAGTTTCAGCTACTTGAAGATGCAATTTTTCGCGCGGAGTATTCTGGTTAAAGAAACGATAGAAAGATGTTTTTGCACTAGCAGTCACTCGATTTGGAGGGAAGGTAATTGCTACTTCTTCCGCTCTGCGACTAGAAAAAGGCTTCGGGCCACCCGGGGCCTAGTCGCTTCGGATGGGCGCGAGCTCGTACAGGGTTTCCAAATCGGGGCGCCCGAGGCGCGCGTAGCGGCCAGGCGTCCCGATTTCGAAAGAGTGGAGCGGCAGCCCATCCGAAGCGACGGCCCACCTTGCCGGACGCCTTTAGGAGTGCTCCGAATTGTCGTTACTCACTTTCTGTCAGCTTTTAATGCAAAATACAGTAATTACATACAAAATTCGGACGAAATACCAAATTCACTGCAGTTTAAATCAATGTACGATCCGCGGCGCAAGTGTCGGGCGCAAGTGTCGCGGCGCAAATGTCGCGGCGCAAGTGTCCGCGGCGCAAGTGTCGGGCGTAAGTGTCGCGGCGCAGTGTCGCGGCGCAAAGTCGCGGCGCAAGTGTCGCGGCGCAAGTGTCCGCGGCGCAAGTGTCGGGGAACCGTTTTGATGCAAGTGGAAGGCCTGATTTCAGATATTTTGGGCACGTTTTATCGAGTTAAACTTAAATAACATGCAAAACTACTCAGAAGATGTTAGAACGTGGCTAAAGAGCCCGAAAATCCAAATTTTCTGCTTTCACATCTTTTTAAGGGGGGTTTCAATGGCTGTGAAGTCGGGCTTGGTATATAGGCGTAGTCAAGCGTATCAATTTAATTTCTAAGCGGTTTTCAAGTTTCCGGTACAAACTCTACAATAACAATTCCATTCTACGCAAGTTTTTGATTAGTTCCGAGGCTAGATATACTGTTTCTACGATTCTAAGGCCATTTGCCGAGCTCAAATTGCCCTCCATGCATTAGCGATCAGCCCCGCTGGGCTGGCCCGCAGAAAATCGATCCGTTTACGCAATGTTTACCCGTGGCTTGTCCCCTGCCCCGGCTGTTCGCCCCCTTGTTTTTCCACTGGTCTTCCCGATTGATAAGCTGTGTCTACGATTCTAAAAAAACATTCAAAAATCTTGATTCTGAAATTCTACAAAAATGACTAAAGAAGCCGAGCCATTAGATCCGGATTCGAAGCTTTCCGAGCCGGTTAGAAGACATTCTAGCCTTCCAAAAGTAAGCCGGTACCTTGAATCTAAGCCTTAAATTTTAAATCGTAAAACTACAGGAAATTTGGAAGCATACCCAACCTAATTGGTTCCAAAAAATTTAAAGTTGTATGTACTCCGAAGTCTCTAGTCTCTAGTAAAACATACGCTACGCTACGTTACAGATACCTCAAGTTCAGTACTAAAAGCCGTAAATACAGATAAAAAGTTGCATTATAATTTGGTTATATTATTAAGCCTGATTTTAGGGTTGTATTAATTGCCGAGCCTGCTTCACCAACTGGTCCATATGGTTTTCTGGAATTGCCACCATTATCACGTTGCTTTCATCAATTCTATTCACCTACTATTTCTCGAAGGCGCTTTCTGGATTTGCTAAACAGGTATGAAAATACTATAGCTAAATCTATGATTACTATACTGTTAATATGGGTGTAAATTTTTTAGATCAACGCATTCGTCAAAGTCGGGGACCTCGGCAACGTCTTTTTTCAGACCCTCGTCACAATCTTTGTAATCTGTTTCGTCACGTACCTATTTTTCGTTCATCTGGCGTCAGGTAAATTTGAATATGTAAAACCCGTTGCGCTTAAAACGGAAAGTTTCTAGAGACATAATTTTTATTGCAGCAAAATTCTTTCGAAATTGGCTAAATAATTGTGGGACGTTGTGCATACTTTTTGGAAGCTCTGTCTTTTCACAGGTAATAAAGCTATAATAATCATTTTAAGTTAGATATACAATATTTTTAGGTATTCCTGATCTGCTGGGTTTTGGTCACCTGCTTTGTATCGGCCCTTACCCTCGTCTATTTCCTGTTCATCGGCGGAATCTATGGATTTTGCAAAGTGGTGGATACCGAGTGCTTCAATTTCAAGGTGTTGATCCCGGCTATCGTGAATCGCGTTAGTAATAAGGTATATTTTTCTACTAATGGCATTTTCTACGCTTTTTAGCAACTCGACATGACGTTTTGTCAAGACAAAAAAGAGCTACTGTGCAGTGGCGAAAATAACATGTTTGGCAACTTTTGCGCAGCGTTTCTGATGGCGGTTATTACTTTTTGCGGTATATTTGAAACCTTCAAACCTATTAAATCTATCGTAATTTCTGGATCCAAATTTTCAGGCTGCCTGGTCGTCCAAAACTGCGTAGTCTACGGTTTGGGCAAGAAAAATGCGAAGGCCAGAAAGCCGAAGGATGAAGCGTACCAGTTATCGGAAATGAAATAACTTTCGGTCCTTTTGTGCTTTTTTGATGTTTTTGAAAAGCTACTCATTTGCTAAGCGGGTTAATTTATCATTTTGCATGATTAGAATTTTTCCTATTTGCTTAAATAGTATGCTGTAGTTGTTTAAAAAAATCGATGCTTTATTTACTTCCCCATTTCCTGAAATTCCTGACAAAACGACATGTCCGGTAGCGGGCCCTTTAGATTATCGAAACAGTTGATGTCTTCAAAAGTTGGGCGGTGGTTTACCTATCAAAAGAAAAAAAAATTAAGCTTTGGTGCCCTATAAGCAACTTACGGTCCAAACTTCCGCTTCCCCCCTGGCGTTTCTTGCTGCCTTTCGCTTATAGGTCCATTCACTCAGCTTTTCCGTGGTCACTTCTAGTATGCCATCTTTAGGAATGATCCCTAGCTAAAAACTACGTTTTGCGATAGGATGTCAAAACTCATTTTGACAAATTTGATTTTTTCGACATTTCCCTTTGCCAAGATGTTTTACCGCCGAGATTTTACGTGCTCGAAATCAGAATGCCGAAATTCGACTTCGACCAAATAAAATGCCGACAAACTAAATGAATAATTTAGTTTGTCGGCATTTTAAGCTAACCAAATACTTTCGACCACATGAAACTAATCCGAAGATAAATGAAAAATAAATGAAACAATCAAAACATGTAACAAAGCCGGCATCAGAAGTTGATTTACCTCCATCTGCTCAAACTTGACCCGATTTGGGAGGGCGGAGAAATCGATTCCGGCTTTTCTAAATCGCAAAAAAGTCGTAGTTTGACCAATCGATCGAAGCCGAAGTCGTTTGACCAACCGATCCGAATTATACCAAAAGTGGACGGCTTCGTCGGGCTGAAATTGAATACGATTGAAGGAATACGGTGTTGTACCTTGTTGTGTTGCAGGAACCACAGAGTTTTTGTTCCACTAAAAACGTAAATTGTTCCGGCTATATTTTTTCTATAGTGCGTACCTGTATCCTTCTTGCGTTATCAAGATTACACTAACATTGTATTTTTCCTCAAACGCTAGTTCTTTCTCGTTGATAAATGGGAAATTCTAAATGAAGACGAAAATAAGGTTTGGGTGTGAAAATTTGGGGATACCCAGGGGCCTTGATGGAACCAAGCTTCAGCAGCTGCTACTTCTCCATTTAGCATGTTCTAAAAATAGCTTTTTATTGATTTAAAGTAATACCATTACCTGCAAACCTCGCAAGAAAAATGAAGAGAAGTTGAGACCGTACTCCCGACCGTACTCTCCTGATTTTAAATTCATGGAATGAACTCAGTCGATGAAGACGTCTTATAAAGTACCAGCCGCTTACTTCGGGCCACCCGCCTGTCCGCCCCTCCCCCTCGCCGAAACGCGTGCCACCTGGCTCACTATGCCCGAAACCGTACAAATAGCCGTTCTTACTACTAAAGTGCAAATATGGATTTTCAGAGATAAAAATTTTAGGTTTTAGTTTTTAGATTCTGTTCCTGATCAGTTTAAGGGTTTCTGGTCACGCTCTATCCGAATTCGAAGTGACCTAAGCTCTAGCCCCTTCCCTCTTCGAGTTGGATTCGGCTTCACACAGACGGGGACCACAGCAAATTATTATTACAATTATTATTCTTTCTCACCTCTCAAACGTAACCACTTCCATATACCAGCCCACTCATACACATCTTTCTACAAAAAAAATGTAAGAAATACTGACAGAAATCTACAATCATACCTCAGACGGATAGTCGCTATCCTTTCCAAAATAAAGGTCACCTTGAATTTCCGACAACAATCCCTAAATTTCAATCATTTATGTAATTAAAAAGGGTTAGCAGAGCGCAAGAATTCAAGATTTATTTTATGCTAAAAATTACTCTCCACGGTTCCGAATGAAGGATGTTCATAAACTGGGAAATATCAGTAGACTTAGCCAACTGGAAGCTGATCTTCATCCTTTGGTATGGTGCGCGAATGTTTCCTAAACTTATCTAGGTAATTAATTTTAAATTAGTGATTTGGCAAAGCGGCTTCTATTTATAATACCTATAGCTTCGATGAAGAAATCATAAAAATTTCCAAGGTGTGTGGTGCCATTTTCAAAGTCGTATTCAGCAAAACAGGTAGCGTGGACCCTAAAATAGTCCGGAGGAGTATTCCAATTACCCGATATCAAATTTGAAGCGAGCTCCAGTCGTGAATTCCACTGGCTGAAACAGTAATTTACAGGACTACAGCGTTGGCAATATACAATTAGGGTGGCTTCGATGGCGTTCTTCACCCAGCTTTCCCGCTCCTCCCTTGATACATTTTGCCCGTCCCTGATTTTCAGGACGATCTCGCGAAGTTGATCAGTGAGCGTTAGTTTCTGAATTGTATTGTAGTGGTATAAAATAGAGCTTTTTGATAGTATTTCTTATCGGATTCCTCGATACTTTCTTGTACTTCAATTTCAGAAATTTCCGATGCAACGAAATTGGATTCCAAAGAAACAGGCCAACGTTTTCCATGGGTATGGCTTTGGGCCCTACTTTTTTAAACGTAACGTTTTTGGTGACCTTCAAAACAAAATATACTGTAAATCACAACGTTATTTAGCCGTTTAACCCTGAAAACAGACCTTGATTGGCAAAACTCCAACGTTGACAGGGATCTGGGAATCAGTCCCATTTGCGATTGTTGCGTTGAATTCATCAAATGCATTCCCGACGCCGATAATCGTTATTAAGAGTATTATGCATTGCATTGGACTTTGACGAAGGAGGTTGGATATCAAATACATCGGTGGAATAGCGTCTCGTGACATGTTCATTCTTCGAAACACTGACAGTTCGAGGGAGAAAATGAGGCTAATTTGACTGTTTGGTCTCGTGGGTCACAATGCGGCGTTTAGACCACACCCACAAACGTCAAAAAGTGCTTAGAAAATGAGTCGTGTTGGCACGAGTTGTGAATTATCTATTGCGCTCAAAAAAATCGCGGTTTTTTTACCTATCCGCGACTGTTACTTAATTTGCATTTTGTTCATTTTGTTTTTTGTTTTTACGTACTGCTAGCTGATCACCCATCTTTTTTGTGCCCGTTTTGTTTAATTTTTTTGGTATGTTTGCATCCTTGGTAAACTGATCAATTTCACTAATTGCTCTTTAATGCAGTTTTTGACCCGACTAGCCATCTGTCCGATATGAACTGATTAGAAATGATCGATCCCGCACCGCTCCTTGTCCTTGTCTGGCCTCCATTACGTGGTCTAATCGGTTCCTTTGCCGATTAGGACCTTCCATAATTTGTGCAAAAATGAATGTGATCAAGTTATTTTCAAGGAGACTTTCCACTGGACCGATTCCTGATTTTTTGAAGGTATGATTTCTATACGTTGGAAGTAGATTAATGAATTGTGTGCAGTAAAAACTGGCAAACTGCGGGTATTTGGAATAATCTTAATTAATTTTCGCGTTTTTATAGGTTAGCGATGAAGTGGCAGCGGCCCTACATGAGAATAGGGCAATTGTCGCCCTGGAATCGACGATTATTGCCCATGGACTTCCATATCCGACAAATTTGGAGTAAGTTCTTAACCTAAGGTCTTCGAAATAGTTATTTCAGAACCGGATTAGAGTTGGAGCAAATTGTACGATCCGAATCAGCCGTTCCTGCTACGGTAGCGATTATGAATGGAAAGGTACGGTGTTGAAAAATAATAAAAACTAAAAAATTCGTCTTCATAATTAAGTCCATAAAAATACATCATAAATTAAAAAACCAGATAACCTGAGCAATTTAGGAACTATTTTTTGCATTTCAGGTTTGCGTCGGCCTCACAGAAGCTGAACTCTCCGAAATTGCCGAGTCCAAAAATGTGGCAAAAATCTCGAGACGTGATATGGCAAGGTGCGTGGCAAACGTAAGGTCTTGAATTTCAAAAAATATCCAAGGCCTAGAAAGCTCTGGGGGCAACTACTGTAGCCTCAACGATGTGGGCAGCTCACCAGGCTGGCATTCGGGTATTTGCCACCGGCGGAATTGGCGGTGTTCATCGGTATGCTCAAGAAAGTAAGTGAAAATCGTATTTTCATGCAAAGTATCATCTTGAGGTTTTGTCAAGGTAATAACGCTATTTTAATTCCCTATTTTTAGCGTTCGACATATCTGCCGACCTTCAAGAATTGGCTGCAACCCCAGTGACGGTAGTCTGCGCTGGCGTGAAGAGTATTCTGGATATACCGAAAACCCTGGAATATTTGGTAATTTAAAATTATTGTTAATGTTATTTTTTAAAATTTAATTGGATTATTTTTATTCCAATTTTTCTACATCTTAATTTTAGGAAACCCACAGCGTTAATACCATCGTCTACTCGACCAAGAATGATTTTCCCGCCTTTTTCGCTCGAGAATCCGGTTCCAAAGGACAATTTAGTACTATGGATCTAGCGGAAGCTGCGCGGATTATTGGTATGAAAATTTTACGAACTATTTTGATACAAATAACGTTAAGAAACATCAAAAATCCTTGGTCTTCCTGCCGGCACAATTTTGGCTTGCCCGATCCCAGAGGAATTTGCAGCAAAGGGAAAAGTCATCGAAGAAGCGATAAAACAAGCCTTAGAAGAGGCTAGGTACCGTTTTTAGATGAATAGTATTACGAGCCATTAATCACGCTTTTTTACAATATTAAGGGTGTCGAAATGTGTATATAGTAATTTTAGAGCTCAAAATATCATGGGCCAAGCGACCACCCCGTTCCTGCTATCGCGAGTGAAGGAGCTGACCGGTGGAGAATCACTAAAATCGAGTTAGTTTCAGCTATTTAGTTATAGAAAGTTTTTTTTAGATGTTGCCCTTGTCAAAAATAATGCCAAAATTGCTGCGAAATTGGCAAATCACTTGGTGGGACGGTCGAAAAATAGTGAACCATCGCAAAGCCCAGCCATCGCTGCGCGGAAGCGGGAAATTCAAAAGCCGGTGAGGCCGAAAGTTGTAAGTTCTAATTTTTATCAAGTCTTTAATTAAATTATGAATCTATCAATTTTATGTTGCTTAGTTTTTATAGTAAAGAAAAAGTCGTTTATCCTTATTTTAGGTAACCATCGGTGCGGCAATCTGTGATTTCGAGGCGATCACCCGTGCTGACGTTAAGGTAAGTAATTTTCATATACCTTTGAAAGTTTTATCTACAAAAATAAGGCACACAAATCACAAAACACACTCGTTTCTATGTACAAAAATCTTTCACTTCATCTAATTATAAAAATTATCGGTTTATGCGATTAAAATTTTGCGCTCTGGCGTCCCGGGCTCGCAATAGTCCTCATCGTCCTCATCATGCCTAGATGCGATTTTTTTCAAGGCTTAATCGAGAATACAACGACGATTTTATCACAATACGACACGTTATTCACCTTATACGAACGGATCGCTGCTTATGGAAAATCTAAAAGGAAAAAGAGAGCTTGAAAATGAGAGGTTACCTATTTTAGCTATTTTGAGAATTACTTACTTGTACAACTTGGCGTGATTTGAGTAGACAATCTCGGAGAAAAGTTCCCCAATATCTTCCCTAAATTTCAAAAATTACCGCGATGGATTTAGGCTTACCGTAGAACCATTACGACAATTATTTTCAAGGGGAAAAGTACAAAGAAGATGATGATTCCGACAAAATCCGTTTTTGTGTGCATCCACCTAAAAATAGAATTTTTATATTTTCCAACCATCCTACCGTAGTATGTTAGCATTACATGGGTGATGGGTTTGCTGACAAAGCCTAGGGATCGTCCAGAGTTGACCTGAATTTCGGGTAAATGGCCTAGACTTGACTTACCTTGACTGCAAATTTGGGCCAGAGCCTTTGGGGTGCAGCAGCTTAATTTTTCTTGCATCGCCGTCCATAGTGAGCATGTAAAGGTTCCATCCTCTGTTAGGTGTTGTACGATGCGTTCTTCGAAATGATCATGGAAGGTTGAGTGGACGTTCTCAAGAAAAAACCATCTTTTTCTGTCGCAATTTGACTCTCTCGCTCGGACTCTCTCTCTCTCTCTCTCTCTCTCTCTCTCTCTCTCTCTTTCTGTCTCTCTCGCTCCGCCTCACTTGCTCTCTATCTGTCCTAACGCTCTCTACATCTCTTCCTATCTCGCTCTCATCCATCTCTCTCTCTCTCTCTCTCTCTCTCTCTCTCGCTCTCTCTCTTTAGCTCTCTCTCTCGCCTCACCTTCATTCTAAACATCAACAGGGCAGCCATAACCACATCAAAGAATAATAGCGGAATCATCAGCAACCAGTAGATGGTCAATAGAGACTTGTTCGAGAACAGCACCCCCATGATCCCGACGATGCAGGCGAAGTACTGTTTTGATAGAGAGACTTTGGAAACATGATTTCTTCACTTACCTGGACCCCAATCTGGATCTCCAGGGCGATGATAGTCGGGTGGTCCTCCTCGAACGGGATGTATTGCCACCATTGATGGGTGAACATCCCGTGGATCCACCACACCATCACCGTCTAGAATTTGTTCAAGTTCTTCTGAAGTTAGGGAGGTTATGGGTCGCGCGATTTTGTAACTTATCGAGCAGGTGAAAGGATTTTTCGTTCTTTCTGTTGTTTTTGTGATTGTTTGGGGCTTAGATGACCAGTGAACTCCGGGGAACTACGGATTTAAAGTTTTTTTGAGTCTTCCGCGAGGAGTTGAAAAGCTTTCGAAGTTCTTCTAGTTGTCGATATTTTCCAAATTTTTTAGCGCTTATAGATACGGTTTTTGGCATCGTTAATGCACAGAATCCTTAGGAAAGAGATGGGGCAGGATCAGGGGCGTAGCCAGAAAAAAATTTCGGGGGGGGCCCCCAAAAATTTTTTTCCAAAAAACTCAAAACATTAAGGAGAAAACAGCGCCGCAGGCAGCAAAATTTTTGAGAAAATGAAACATAGGGTCCCCCATGAATTTTCGGGCCCCGGCCGATTTCGGGGCCCGCCCCCGGGGCCGGTATTACGCTACGTCCCTGGTCAGGATCAAGGATCAACATAGGTTTTTCGGCTCTCATGATTTGTCTAGTTTTCGGGCAATTTTTCCATTATTCAAGCAATAAAGTTTTGCATTAATTGCAAAAATTCTAAGGGGAGAGTGAATCCAGAGTAAGCAATGGAAATCGAAAGTAGGATATTTTTGGTAAGGAGCTTCTTGAAGTATTTCCGCTTTTTTCGTGTTTCTGTCACTTTTTGTGTGGCCGCTAGTAATGTGTACACGGATCGGGCGTACAGGGTCAGTACGGCAAATTGAAAAACATACCTGAAAAACAATGATCAGACTGTTAACGGAGTAGATCCACACCCGGTAGTACCGTACCGGGGTCATCCTCGACCCGTCGCCGGCACCGTTTCGAAATGAAATGGCCATCTTGGCACGTGCCTAAACATTGGATTCAGCACACCCTTTATGACCTGAGAACGGCGGGGAATATTAAAGGAAAACGGCCAAGCCAAGCACCCGAATGCGGAACGGGACGGAATCTCAAGTGAATGTGGTTGACCCGGGGCACGCTCGGATTTTTTCGGAAAAAGGGGACTGGCACGCATAACGGGAATTCGAGGAATTGAACCAACTTGTAATTTGGGTCGTTCTTTTCAAGGATTTCGGAAGTCAGCAGGAAAATAATTAAATTTAAGAAATATATTATTTATTAAATTTAGCAGTCCACCCGCGACACGCAACGTAAGCCATCCTTCAACGCCGCGCACTGCGTGTCGCGGGGGTAGGCCCGTGGGATATCCATTTCGAAATAATCCGTCGTTAGTTTTGCGCGTCCCACTAAACAAAATTTCTGCATGTCAGCGCTTTTCACAGTCTAAAAATAGATTTTGATATTTAAAGACTACCAGAACGATGGAACGCGCACTGTCACCCCGAGGGTGCTGCCCCAAGACCCGCAAGAGGGTCGTCATTAGTGGTGTCCCGTATTGGGCAAAGACCCTCTGGGGTTTGGGGCGTCTCTGACTCCCTTCCCCACTTGGCCCTGTGGTATAGTGGCTAGCGCTTCGGACTGTGGAGCGAACCATCGCGAGTTCGACCCCCGTCCGGTGCGCAACTTTCTTGCTCTAAACGATATTTCATCGTTCTGGCGGTCTTTAACTATTTTTAAATAATCCGCAATTAAAACAGGGCTTCAGCTGTTGTAAGATCAAATTTAAAAGTTAAATAATTTAAAAAGCAGGGGGATAGAAACGTGAAATCTTTAAAAGCCACTTCTTAATTCTCCGATTTCCCAAGATTCCAAACCGAGATATGAAATTTTATACGTCTGCGGAGAGGGTGTGGGATTTTTTCTTGCTGAAAATGATGAGGTCAGTGCGCACCCACCCTTTCGCAGAAATAGAAGATCTTCCCCAAAAAGGCAACGGGGCTGACGACGTTGCGGGGTTCCCCTTATCCAAAAAAACCAATTCAAGTTTGGAGAACTATCGGACCTTAGGGAATTTGGAAAGGACCTTAGCGCAAGAAACCCAAAGATGGAGAAATTAAGGAATTTTGCCGTGTTATGACGGCAAGGGGATTTTGGAAATTGTGATTTAGAGCATGACGGCAAAAAGGGTGGAACATAACTTACTTTACTTACAGTTAGAATAAGCGTATTTTGGAGGTTTTGTAGCCGGAAGTGTCGAGAAAATTCTTGAAATTGTTTAAAGGAAATTCAATGCTATCTTTTGCGAATTTTGAAAAACTGAAAATTCAAGAAAATCCGAAAAGCGTCTAGCGGCTTATCTTATGATTCCAATATGGTTTTACCTTAGAATTTTTTAACATATATCGACTCAAAAAAGCACTTTGAAAGTTTTTTAAGTCAATGGAATTTGTTAGCTCTATTATTCATTCTTTTCGCTAATCACTAAATAAAATAACTATTCGAAACACGGAAATTGTGGAGTATTCAAATTTCCATAGGTCAACTTATCATTGGATGACATCGCAGTAAAAATTAGACTTTGGAAAATTCTAGTAACTAATCCCGGTCCTACTGAAGGTGTTACCACCATCCTGAGACCGCAACCACTTTAACAAAAACAAATTCACCCCGCGGGCAGACCCGTTTGTGATGCCTTTGGAAAATTGGATAGACACGACTAGGTCCAGGCCACCAGGGACTAACTGCCATCTTTTCCTAGCCTCTCATCCAGGGAATAGATAGGGACGGCGAGAAAATAGAATGTTGGTCAACGCCTTGGCTTCAGACACCCCTCAAGCGGACCCAGAAGGTTCCATTGTCAAACGTTTACCCATCGGCTTCACACACCTGGGGCGGCCCGATTCGAAAGAGGTGTGTGACGCCGGTAAAAAAATTAAAAGTATCACGTCCCCCGATCGGTGGCGGGGAGTTCTGTTTGGTGAAGTGATTTGTAGATGGAACGGCAGCCAAATAAATATTCTAGAGCCCCGGGTTTTAACTTCCTGAATTCAGTTTCATTAAAAAACGGAAAATCTTAGATTTAAAACCATCAAAAGAACAATTTATTTCTCTTTGGCGTGGATTTTTTGCGAATTTTCGAGTGTTCCGCGCCAGTTTTTCAATTGGGTGATTGCAAAAAAATCACAATTTCGTTTGTCGGAGGAGCCTGAAGCAAACATTTTTATGCCTCTTTCTTACAAATTTTCAATCTTGCAAATTTTGCCAAAATTGCAGGAGAATCAGCCCAATTCGCTTATGCTTGGCATGCCAAATTTTAGAAACACCTTTTCCAACAATAAAAAATCCAACAAAAACCTATTTAAGATTTTTTGAATTCTGAAAGCTGAACGCAAGCGCTGGCCTCTTCTCCGAACCCCGACTAGCAAAAAGAAATCGCAAAAACTTCCAGTCGCCACCAATCTCGTTAAGTGCATTAGGAAGCGCCCCAAAAGTCAAAGATCCCCTTCTAAAATCCAATTTTCAAAAAAGGCCAGCTAGTGGAACGGATTTTCCTTGTTTTCCTGCCTAAGCTATAAAATTTGCCTAAAACTTTGAGCGCCGGAATTCCTTGAAAACAGTACTAAAAAAAGTCGCAATTTGCTGCCTACTGTTGCAAACCGAGTGATATCGCTACTTTTTAGTTCCAGTTGCAACCCCGAAAATTTCCCAATCACGGCCTTGGTGATCAGCACCACGTGGGAGGGGGAACGCGATACGTTTGCGCTTCAGCTTTCCCCATTTTTTGAGGCGGACAAAAAAATTGGGGCTCTAGAAAACGGGAGCACGGGTAAATATGGTGGGCGGTGAGAAAGGGGAGGAGGTGTCTGACACAAAACAGCAGATCGTCACCACATTGAAAAAGCAAAAATTGTAGCAAACTTTGATAAAATCAAATTTCTGCGAGGCTTTTAGGGTATGGAATTGGGATTTGTAAGTCAGCGTACAACAGAGGTTTTTAAAAGCGGTAGTTCCAGCCCCAAGAAATTGAAAAAACTAGCGATGTAGGCTTAAAATTGTCTAAAAATTGTTTTTCCTGGAATACCTTTAAGCACGAAAAATTACAAGCATGCTTAGAAGTATAAAATACTCTTAAATAGTCCAAAAAATAGACAATGTTCAGACTCAAAAAATCGAGCCCTCCTCAACCTTTTAGCCGGAAGTTCGCGATTCAATTTGTAGGCACTTGACGAGGGAGCTAGACGGCCCTAGGCAAGAAAAGAGGAGAACGTAGAAAAGCTCAAAAAGGCCCAGACGAGCACGTGGACGGGTGGTTATGAACTTTTGCAAAGATCTCCTAGGGAATACCAGGATCGCTGTAACTTTAATCTATGCGTTCGGGGCAAGCCAAGCGCAGACACATAGGTGCAAGAAACCGAACTGTTTGAAGTAGCAAACGCCACACAATCCTTGAAAATTGTAGCCGAAAGTTCGAACGGGACGTTTGCCTACTTTTTCGCACAAATTTAAATTTTCTGACGTCCAGATGTTTGAATCAAGATCGACAGATATATTTCTCACTTCACAATACAACAAATAAGGTACAATGGACGCGAAAAATGTTTAAATTCGAAGAAATTCCTAGATACGGTAGCAAATAAACAATAAAATACCGTAGGTGACAGTACGCAACGTCAAAATAAAGTATCGTAACGTACACACCGGGACACACGAAAAGCATACAAAAATCGGGCCTCTCCAGATGCAAAAATGTCCAAATTTTTAGAATGACGGCGGCTCGTACCCAGGAATTGTGACTCAACGGCCTGGAGGTGTGGGACGGAATCATGCGGACGTTATGGCGAGGTATAAACATTTATTAAACTCGTAGCCATTTAAGTCAATAATTATTCGTTAGTCCTTTTAACTAATCACTATTACGACTTACTACTATTATTCATGCCTCTTAATTTTAAATTTCTAGGCTCGGCCTCGATTCCGCGCTTTTGACCTACGTGGGAAATGACGAGAACGGGCGCTTTTTGAGGCGTACTGGGCAGCATATTGTAGGCAATTCTGTGCAGATGATTTTAATTAATTCTTTTATTTTTACTAATGAACATAAACCCCATTAAAAGAGTATTTAGGACCTCTCTGGCGTCAAAACCGTAGACGCACCAACGGCAACCTATTGTGCGATCAACATGCGCGGGAATGTGCGCTTTGGGATTAGCAGCATCGAGGAGATTATGGGCAAAATGGGCCCGGAAATTGTAGGTGTTAATTACGGGTTTATTGCTGTTTTTAGGTCCACGCAAACATGGGTCTACTCGAGGAAGCGGATTTCTTGGTGATTGACGGGAACACAAAGGTCGAGACATTAAAAGAAGCAATCGAGGTTGCATATCGCATCAATTTGCCGAGTGAGTTATGAGTTTTAAATTGGACTAAGGACGTTATGAAATCACAACAAGTCAGAATTAAAGTTTCAATTATTTAAAGAAATTGATAAACCTGAAAGTATGCAAGTTATGATTTCATTTTGTTCTAATTCCGTGAGTCTTTCCTGTCTAATTTCCTGACTTTTGTAATTAGCTTTTTCCATCGATCAGAATTATCGATAAATGCTCTTTCAGTCTGGTTCGAGCCCACCGATATCGACAAGATGCAAAAGCTCTTCAAAGCTGGAAACATTGAGAAAGTCTCGGTGACCTCCCCGAATTTGAACGAATTCCGAGAATTGTGTCGCTTTTCTGGTGTCGCTACCCAGGGTAAAACTCGATTTCCCTTCCACAAGCCTAAGTTCAGAAAGCTACTTCGCCTCCACGTTTTCTATGCAAAAATTTATCCACAAGCACCACGAGAAACTGCCCAGCTTCCGGCTGCTCGTGGTCACAATGGGCGAGAAGGGCGTTGTTGTTTGTCATAGGTAACTGATTCTATAGCCTTGTCTTACACTAAACAACATCTATAGTGAGAGAAAAGTATGAAAAACTACAAAACACCATCAATCAGTTTTTTTTTGCAAAAAGACCCCATCTAAACCTACCTAAAAGGGGAGAAAATTGATAAATTCATTGGTTCCAAGTACTTTTCTATTAAAAAATATCAGGAAAACTGTTATATCAGCTGTTGACGGTCCAAAACGGCACATTGAAAATTCCCGGGTTCCTTAGAAAAACCATACAATGTCTTCAGAACTGGAAATGGCTACGATATTCTCACTCGACCATCACCTCTGGGCAACTCTGAAATTGTCTCTGTTTCAGGAGCGGGAGATTGGTGGGTTTGAACGACGTAGTGAAATGTTAATTATGCTTGGACCTTGATCTGTTAAGTATTTTTGCGATTTTCAGTTGGAACGGCGGATTTCTGGCCGGTCACCTGACCGGACGAGACCTTGATGGCGCGATAAATCTGGCCCAAGAAACCACGGCGAAGTCGTTGAAATCGACCTTTGCCGTACCAATCGATATTCGGCCAATTCTGTGATATAGACATATGGGTTTTTAGGATTGATTTTATTTCGATAAAGGACTTTTAATCGCCAGATTTTACTACTTTTCTAGTTTACTTTAGTTAAATTTAACGACTCCTCAATCGGTTAAAGTACGACGTTTGGAAAAATAAGTGTTTTCGCGCGCGCTCTCTCTCTCTTTCTCTCTCTCTCTCTCTCTCTCTCTCTCTCTCTCTCTCTCTCTCTCTCTCTCTCTCTCTCTCTCGCTCTCTCTCCCCTCTCTCTCCGTCTCTCTCGCCATTTCTTTTCCTCACAGTCTGCATAAAGCAAGTTTATCAACAAAAGCCATTTGTTTAATAAGACATCAGAATCAACAACAGCGCAAAATCCGATTATTTCCCCTCGAGTAACGACGTGAGCTCGACTACGCGAAGCTCCAGTTTCCTGATTTTCTCCTCATTCCTATCAAATGCTTCACGAAGCTTCCGATAGAATCCCTGGCTCCAGTCATCCACAATGCATTCGCCCTGCTGGCAGTTCGCGTAGGCTGGGCACGAATTTGCATCGATGACGCATTGTCCGACCTGAAGTTACTACGTTAATTTGATCCTTTCAATGTATATTGGATTTCTTTGTTTAATATAGCCAAAATCGTAAGAAAACCTCTTAAGATCAAAAAGTCATAAAAAAGAGAGGGTTGAAAGAGGGTGAAAAGGGCCAAAATGTGAGAGTTTTAACCCACCGAAATCGGCTTCTTTTCAACTTTTCGCTCTGTCGGCCATCCTGAATATACCGTGAAAAATGCGATAATCAGAAAAATGTGAATAAGCAGCACTAGAATCCATTTGAGGACCTGATCGCGTAGAGATTCGGTGTAGAGATTTTTTGAGACGTATTTCGGACGCATTTTGCAAAAAAAAAAAACGAATTTGGAAAAGTGTTGGCGGGCTCCTCTTTCTTGACCCCGTCTATGATTCAAAGAGAACAACATTTTCAATTCAGGCAATGAAACATCTTCAAAAAGTCAACAAACCAGGAGCAAAATAGCTCGATTAATTTTGGGATATATTTTATAGCACATAAAACAGCTGCTCGCATAGCCTAAAAATGTGATTTTCTGTACAACTCCAACCAACATCAAAAAGGATCCCGACCATACCTAAACTATACCACCCGTTCGTTCTCGGCTTTGGCTTAGGTCTCATCCTAGGTATTGCTAGGCGGTTTTCTGGGTATCCTCTACCACTCCGGTAAATTTACATAAACATAGGAATTCTTGACCGAGCAAAAAAATGCTATCTCACCAGTGTCTACATCCGCACCCCCACCATGCGGTGGATATCCCAATTCTGGCTGCTCACCCTCAAGAATTTGATCCTCATCTGGCGGAACAAGGTCAGGATGTTGGATTCAAATTGTGGATAAAATAGCCTTTCGGGGCATCATATATTTTATGGCAGTTCTCGCTGCTAAGCAAGGTTACTAAAACATGTAGCCTGGGAAAAGTTCCAACGCTTGCATTAAGGTATGGACGCTGCTGGAGATTGTGGTGCCGCTGCTCATCGGGGTGCCGATGCTCATCAAGGGGGGCAAATGGATGGGAAATTCGGTGGGTTCTTGAAGGGTTGATTACTTGTGGATTGCCTGCTGCTGATCCGGAGCAAAATGCAGCTGGTTTCAGCCCCGGGCTCATGGACGTGTTGGAGGCCTCCCGTTGGCCATGGACAGTACGCCGCACGACTACGTCTATACGTAAGTTTGGGGGAATACGGGTGCGAGATTGAGTGAGAGAGCGAGAGAGAGGGAGGGAGAGAGAGTTAATGAGCGAGAGAGAGACAGCGATGGTGATTGAAACAGCCCGAGAAGAGAGATGGAGAGAGAAAGGGAGAGAGAGAACGAGATAGCGAGAGAGGAAGAGAGAGAGAGAGAGAGAGAGAGAGTGAAAGAGAGATAGAGAGAAACCAAGAACGAGGAACCAAGCGATATTTCAGTGTCGCCAACCCGAAACAGCAGCCGAACGCTGCGTTACTGTTGGAAAAATACCAGCAAATCGTGAACGCCCTAGAGCCGCCGGGAAAACCGTTAAACTTGACGTTGTTCAAAAATCGAGCCGTTGGTTTTTAGGCATATTGCTCTCCGTTATGATTAACTTTCTCAAGCTGTTTTTTGCAGGCCATGCAGAAGTTTCTGCAGAATCAAACTGACGTCGAGAAGGGCCCAGGTCATTCGTGAGCGCTGAATCCGCTCTGTTAAAGTACAATTCAGCGGGACTCTGGGGGCCTTTGGCATCGAGATTTTGCACATCAACGTGAAGTCGGCAGTGTTCGACTACCGCATCTGGGTGCCCGGCGAGGCGAAGAAGTGGAAGTTTGGCGAGAACTGGGCCTTCACTAACAGCAGAACGGATGTGGGAAGCAAAAAAAAAAAACACGGATTTCGTCTTTTCATCTGTTATTTGTTTTTTTTTCTTTCTCTTTTGTCTTTTTCGACACAGCCCTAGATTTACGATACAAATAGCGGATGGACGGGAGCTTTTTTGGGTTCTTTCCCATTATCGGGGGGGTCGTATTTTTTCTTAGCAATCAATTTTGTTAAATATCAGTAGCGAAAGTGTGTTTATACTGTTTTTTAATATTGCTAAACGTAAAAACTGTACAAATGTGTATTAACAAATACAAAAATATATGGATTTTCGAACAAAAATGACCGCTTTTGCGCACAATCCTACAAAGTTTTTAGATTGTTCTTTTGTTTGAAAATAGTGATATATTGCTAAAAACACATTAAAGCACTATATGAACTGGCTGCCCCCCCCCCCGATAATGCTAAAGAACCCAAACTATGCTGCGTAGTTGTTTGGCGGCACCCCGGTCGACCAGCCGTCGATGTACGCCGTGAACCGGGTCCTGAAGATGCAGTTGATTCTCGACGACGCCTTTATCCAGGTGTGCCAAGCTGAAGGAACGACCTCTTTTGTAGATGACCAAACTGGTGAAGACTGATAGAACCCGAGACGAGATCGTGTATCATTCGTTCGCCGCCCCGGCTCCGCCGCTAAAATGGTTTCAACCGGTCTGTTTTTGGGTTTTTTGGAGTTCAATAACAATTGCAGCTGGTGTCTGGCATTCCGGGTCTGATCGCCGTGCTCCTCTTCCCCGGCATCATCCACCTCGCCAAGGACATCTCGTTCGAGGTCGAGATCGGGCTCAGGGTATGTTTCCTCGAATTCATTTTAAGGTACTGGACTGTTAGCAGGGGGGGATTTTAGTATCGGGAAACTAATCTTTGTTTCTCCGTCTATCCCAAGCTCTTCGTAAGTAATAGTGTAATTTTGTAATCTTTTTCGCAGTTTATGTCGCTAGAAAATCACAAGGAAAACGTTAAAAAAATCGCCAAAATTGAAGGTTTTGGTCTTTCTCGATCATTTTCCTGCATTTTTGGCCGAAAGCCAAAACTTTTTTGAAAATTTTGATGTTTGAGGTGCAGGATCATAAAACCAAAAATTCTTCAAAATGGAATAAAAATGGTGACCATTTTGTTATAGGCCGTCCAGCATTACTAACAAGGAGTCGTTTTCGCGTGATATTGCAGTTTTTGAACGAGACCTAGCTAGTTCGATAGTGAAAAAAATTCTGAACAAGATGTCGTTTTTCAAATCTGCTAACCGTGTACGCTGTTCAATAAAAATTAATTTGAAAATCATTAATCTAACCATCATTTCCCTCCTGATCCGCAGATTCTGCGCTCTGGGTGCGCGTCAACATAGCCCCCTTTAGGCCTCCCTCCAGCCATGACCCAGCTGGCCTATTGGTAGTGCGCTTGCTTCATAAGTTTTTGTTTTTTTTTTTGCTAGCGGGTTCGACTCCTCGCTAGTAAAACTCTTTTGCTTTTTGCTCGATAATGCCAAATTCGATTTCAATGACATGAAAAACCAAAAAGCAAAACAATAAATCACAATAAGTTCCGAACCCGGGGCAGAATTTTGCAAAAGTTTGATAGGCGCCGGCACTATCCACTAGGCCACGATCTCATGCGGATGCCGGTTCGCGCTGTGTGCTATGTCCCGGGCCTGAACCATGGGTCGCAGCCTGACGTCCAGGAATTTTTCATTAAAATTAATTTTTATTGAATACAGTACACGGTTAGCAGATTTGGAAATCGACATCTTGTTCAGAATTTTTTTTTCTCTATCGAACTAGCTAGGTCTCGTTCAAAAACTCCAATATCACCCAAAAAACGACTCCTTGTAAGAAAAACGAATCGAAAAACTCCGCGAAACCCCCCCCCCCCTGCTAACAGTCCAGTGCACATGCTTCCAGCACCTCAGAAAAGGCCTGCTAACTTTCCAGGAATACATGCAAGTGATGGGACTGTCTCCGCTGCTCTTCTACCTCAGCCACGGCTTCATCGGATGGCTCAAGTCGATGCTCCTACTGCCGTTCTTTGCCTTCCCGCTCTTCCGATACTTTGACGTGCGGACTGGCCACGTTGCCCCCGAAAACTATTCCAGATGTTGCCATTGCTATTCCCAGCACTCGTCGTCTTTCTCTACTCACTCTCCGTCACCTCGTTCGCCATCTTCTGCTCATCCACCCTGAAGACGTCGTCGAGTGTTTTCAAATGTACAGGATGTCCCAAAAACCGTCCCCCGCCTCCTCTAGCCGGCCGCCGACGTTTCCGATCCGTACGATTTAAGGATCTATCAAAAGCTCCAGCAAGTCGAGCCCAGCACTCTTCTCCGATTCCGAAGTTTTTGCAATCCTTCGGACGATTTCTGATTTTTCTGATTCTGACGGATTTTCGATGTTTTTCTGACCAGGGGATTCTTGTAGAAATCAGAATTTAAGGAAACTCACTTCCTGCAGCTGAACCTCAGCCTTTTAGAAGCCGTTTGCGAAAACACAGCTTGGATAGCGCTTGGACCGGTCTTAGATTGAGTTTTTGACAAGAAAGGGAGAGAGCGGAGCTGGATTCCGACTTTCCAAGAGCTATCAATAGATGGCTAAATCGTAAAAATCGGACACGTCTGCGGCCGGGGGTAAATTTTTGGAACACCCGATACGGATCAGGCAGTGGTGAAACCGGCATTTTTTAGTGACGATGATTCTGTGGGTGATGATGGCGCTGCAGCCGATCGTCTCCGGCCCGAAGCTCGAAGAGGTCATGTGGTGCTTCATCCTGTCCCTCAACCCCAACCAGGCCTTCGTACTGGCGGTTGACATTTGGTTGAGCTACGACGAGCGCAGTGAGTGCTTTGGGTACTCGAAATTTGGACATTGTGAATTCGAAAGACCAAAAAATCAAAGTTTGCTATCTTTTTTTAATAAAAATTTACAAAGTTTGACGTTTAGGGTTCATAAAAAAACTATTTAAAAACTTCACTTATATTTTTTTCAAAAATTAAATTCTAAGAAAATTCTGGCGGCCCCGATAATGCAAAAGAACCTTTTTGAGCTGTTTATGTCTAAAAAGTGCTTGGAATGCTATAAAAATGGTTTATTATTTATAGTACCATACGCTCGTAATTGGAACTCTAATTCTTCATTCCCAAATTAGACAACCGGATGAGCTTGACGGACGCAGCCACCGGCTGGACCGAACACTTCAACCTGGCGTCCGTCTACATAATGCTGATCGTTGGCGCCTTGAACGCTACTGTCATTTCCCCTTTAAACCGCCAGGTCGACACGCTGTGGATGTTCCTGGGCGCGCTGCTGATGGATCGGCTGCGCTCGGAGGAGACCAGCTTTTTGCGCGACGCGATTGCGCGAATGTCGGTGGGGAATCGATTATGTCATGAAATTTCTCGGATATCTGTGTAGTCACCGACGACGGAGCGGCCAATCAAGGGTGATGCGGGAGGCGACCAGCTTGTCGATGAGGTCGACGAGGCGAGGAACGTTGCTCAAGGCGACATCGAGGTGAAGGATGTGACGAAGGTAGCGGCGCACGTCGGGCTTAAAAGAACCCTGCTTCAGAAATACGGCCTTGGCGGCGGCTGGGCGTTGAAGGGAGTGAATCTGAAGGCGATCCAGGGCCAGGTGAATCCGTTTCTTCGGTTAACGCACAAAAATGATTCAGATTACGGTGCTGCTCGGGCACAACGGCGCCGGCAAGAGCACGACGTTCTCGATTCTGTGCGGGATGGCTAGCGCGACGTCGGGTAGGTGGAGGACCTCTTGGTCTCGTGTCTATTTCTCTCTCTCTCTCTCTCTCTCTCTCTCTCTCTCTCTCTCTCTCTCTTTTTCTCTCTTTCTCTCTTTCGCTGTCGCTTTCTCTACCTCACTCCGTCTCTCCCACTCGCTCGCTCTCTCTCCATCTCTCTGCCTCACCCCTCCCTCTCTCTCTCTCTCTCTCTCTCTCTCTCTCTCTCTCTCGTTCTAAAACTTGAAGAATGGGAAACGGAAAACATGTAACCTCTAATTCTGCGTTCAGGCACAGTGAAAGTCAACTCGAAACCCGTCGGCCTATGCCCCCAAAAGAACCCACTCTTCCCGAAGTTGACCGTCGCCGAACACCTCTGGTTCTTCCACCACCTCAAGGGCGGCCAGGACGACCACAAGTTAGCGGGCGCCGCGCTGATGCACGACTTGAAGTTTGCCGACAAGAAGAACGAGGTCATGACCCCCCACAATTTCACCTCGTTGTTTTCAGCTGGCCAAGAACCTCTCCGGCGGCACAAAACGGAAGCTCCTCGTCGCAATGGCAATCATTGGGCGTTCGAAGGTGGTGCTCCTCGATGAGCCGACGGCTGGTATGGACCCGGGGGCTAGAAGAGCTGTGGAGTACGTGCTGCAGCGGATAAAGAGAGACAGGTAAGCAGCTGAAATACCTAAACAGCGGCAATCCACAGAACCGTCCTCCTCACCACCCACTACATGGACGAGGCGGAGAAGCTCGGCGATTGGGTGACCATCCTGCAGGGCGGTCGCGACGTCATCAACGGGTCACCAGGATACTTGAAGCGGAAGTACGGCAGTGGCTACATTCTGACGCTCGTCGGAGCTTCGATGACCGCTGAGGGACAGCAGGATCTGGTCACACCAGTCTCACCAAAAGCGGTGGGTGCTTCTACTGGGTGTCCCAAAAAAAAGCACCCCCCCTCTAGCGGTCCGGGGGAAGCTCAGATCGGGATAATTTTTAACCATTCGAAAGCTCTCGGAAAGGCGAGAAAACAAGCAAGATTTATTTTATGAGATTTATTTTTATACGCTGGATATTCAACGTTTTTCTAAAAAACAGGTAGATTTTCAATAGGAATTTCGCGATTAGCATGCAGATCTCGCCTAAATCTGCCGTTTTTCATGGTTTTGGACGTAAAATTTGCTAATAAAAATAGATAATAAAGAAAATGAACCCTCCTTGTTTTCTCGCCTTTCCCAATAGCTTTCGCTAGATACCTAAACGATGAAAATCTGACACGACTGCGCGCCGCTAGAGGGGGTGCTTTTTTTTTGGGACACCCTGTAGTTGTAGCTGAACAACAGGCTCTAGATGCAAGGTCTGGGCGAGGCCGCTCAAAAAACGGTTTCCGAGGTGCTTGCTGGTGACGCCGGAAGCTTCTCACTCGGTCCCCCGCATGGCCGCCAAATCGAGATGACGATCCCGATGAGCAACAAGGACAACTTCCCGAAGATGTGCCAAGCGTAAGCGGTCTTCTCCTATGTATTTGTCTCTCCTTTAGCCTCGAGAAGCTCAAGGAGGATGGGAAAGCCGTGACGGGCAGCGTGGTGCTCGTCGACTTTGGGATGTCGTTGAATACGCTGGAGCAGGTGTTCCTGAAAGTCGGCGAGATCGGCGAGGGGAAGAAGGAGGAGGCGGACAGAGGGACAGCGACGGCGTGGGTTAGTTCAAGGCTGCTAGACATTTCGTGTGTACAACTACAGGCAAGTGCTGCCCGGCTTGACGTCTTGCCAATGCTGCTCGCCCACTTCTTGGCGATGCTGAAAAAGCGGGTCCTTTACAACCTGAAGAACATCCCGCAATTTGTCGTCCAGGTGGGTTGGTCAGAAAAACTAACTAAAAACTTCGAAAACGTTGCAAATAAGCTAAATAGTAAATCGGCAAGATGGACTTTGACGGTTCTTTAGAATTATCGGGGGGGGGGACGAATTTCTTTTTGTATTAATCTAAAAATCAATAATAATCTTAATAAGAAGTATTTCAACAATGTTTTTATTTTAGTAAACTAAATGGGATTTTAAGAAGAAAAACGAGCTGAAACTGAAACCGTTTTCAAAAAGCTGAAATTTTGGTTAATAAAGGGCTATTGGTCGTAAAATAGATATTTTATATAAGGATTATTACAAAAGAAAAATTTTTACTCAGATCGTCATCCCGATTGTCCTCTTCCTCTGCATCAACTACGTCTGTAACCGCGTGACAACGGTTAGACTTGAACCGGGCGACGGTACCTCGGTCGTGCTTTAGGAGGTGGACAGCATCGTCGTTGGCCCATCCACCATCCAGCCGGGGCACTGCGTGCTGCAAGTAAATTGTTGAACTTGGTGAAACGCGCCCACTTTGTAGGTGTTCAGCGGCTCGCAAACCTCGGCCCAGCGCCTTCGCAAGTTGTTGAGCAACGGATGTGGCCTGTTGGAGCTGTCCGCGAAGAAGAACTTCGCCATAGAAGTGGTTCAGGTCCGGTTTAAGGGGTCTCTCTCGCTCTCTCTCTCTCTCTCTCTCTCTCTCTCTCTCTCTCGCTGTTTCTTTCTCTACCCCACTCCGACTTTCCCACCGCTCGCTCTCTCCCCCTCTCTCTCCCCCCCCTCACTCCCCCTCTCTCTCCGACTCTCACTCCCCTCTCTCTCCCCCTCTCTCTCTCCCCCTCTTTCTCTCTCTCGCTCTCTCTCTCCCTCGCTCTCTCTCGCTCTCACTCCCACTCCCTCTCCCCTCTCACTCACTCACTCACTCACTCTCTCTCTCTCTCTCTCTCTCTCTCTCTATCTCTCTCTCTCTCTCTTTCACTGCGTACTGACTTTACTCCGCCCCTTTTAGGCCACCCAGGATCTGCCTCGCCTCGCCGTCGGCATCCAGCTGCACGACAAGGTGCAGTCGAACGTCCACATCCACGCCTGGTACAACCCGAACGGCTACCACACCACCCCGCTGATGATTAACATCGCTGACACGTTCAGGCTGCAAGAGAGAACGTGAGGGCCTGACCATGAGGGGCAAGCATATCTCGTCAAATTTCAGCGACCTCGACACGGCTCGGATCACCACCGGCTTCCACGTGTTCCCATTGGACGCGGAGCTCGAGGAAATTATGACCGGCTTCTTCAAAAAGGTCACAAGACTCTTGGATACTGGCGAATCCCAGCGCTTTAGCTACGAAAATTTGTGCTGATCCCGTTGCTGCTGCTCGCCTTCTCGATCCTCACCTCCGGCTTCATCGTGCTGCTCGTCGAGGAGCGCACCAGCAATTTTCAGCACCAGGTGCCAGCGTCAGACTCTGGACCGTATTTTGATAGTAGTACAATTTTTTTGTATTTTCCAAATTTTTTGAACACATGAAAAACTTTTCCGTCCATTTTTCATACATTTATGAGCAGTGAACATTTTTAACAACTTTTTCTATCTAAAAACTGCGCAAAATGTCATAAAAATTCTTGGTTCTTTTGCGTTCTCGGGGGCGGGCGGACCGATTTTTTTTCTTAGGATCTAATTTTTCAGCTATAAACAGCGGAACTGTTTGTAAACGGTTTTTTATTATTCCTAAGCGTAAAACCTTAACAAATTTTCATCCAAAAATTTCATAAATACCGTTGCTTCGACGAAAAGAGTTTTGAGATAGTCTTATACGCAATCGCCTTTTTTCCAGCAACTCCTCACCAAGCTGCATCCGGTAACCTTCTGGGGCGCGTCGATCGTGTACGACTTGCTGCTGTGCCTGCTCGTCTGCGCCGCCGGCATCCTCATCCTCTACATGGGCGACGTTTTGGGCGCCACGGCGCTGAAGCGGTTCGTCGAACGCGTTTTTCACGAGTTGCTCGCTTCAGACTGTCCGCCCTGTGGGCCCTCTACCTATGGGCGTGCCTTCCATTCATCTACTGCCTCTCGTACCTGTTCTCGTCGTCGGCCAAGGCGAATACGTTGCTGATCATCTGGCAGGTGGGTGAACGTGTATGGTCATGTCAGACGCGCCGCCATTTTCAGGTAATCTCCCCGATTGTGGCCACGATTTGCGTCGTCGCGATCTTTGTTTGGATCATTGTCGACATGATCATGTCCGGCGCAGAGGGCAGTTTCACGAAGGTCAAGGTGGCGATGGTAAGCTTCCCGCTCGGGGTTCCCGGACTGCTCCCAGGTGCCGCTGCTGCTCGTCTTCCCGCCGTTCGGCATGTGCATGGGCGTCATCTACGTGATTCTTGTCGAATTTGAAATGGCCATTCCTTTGGAGAAGTACATGGATCTGTCGTGGTAGGTGTTCGGATTACCTTTTAAATTACAAGGGGCGGGGCGCTGAATTCTATGCCGTGCGGAGTTTTTGCTCATTTTTGACCATTTTTTCGGAGATTTGTTCCAACGGCACGCGCTTCATGGCGTGTTTATGAGGTTTTCATCCTTGAGAGGTTTTCAATGCAAGGCTCCTGAAATTCGGGCTATTTTAACTATTTGTGTGAAAATAATTCGGCGTCATTCTAAAAATATACTGAGAATTCTAACTACTCTTACAAAAACCCTAACATCAAAAACAAGCAAAAGTCGGGAAATGATTTAACACTAATTTAATTCTATATATTTTAGTATCTATTTTTTTTGCAATTCCCGGGCTTAGGAAGAAAGTTAGGACCTGGGGCTACCCACCGCCAGTCTTCAAATTCAGGTATTGGGAGCTGCCGCTGATCACAATGTCGGTGTTCGGCGCGCTGACGGCGGTGCTGTTCGTTCTGCTGTCGTCGCGGGGTGTGCGGCGGGCGGTGCTGGGCTTCGCCGGGGCGGCATGTATCCATCGAAGGCGCCCCCGCTACGTGGATGCTGATGAGGACGTGGCCGCGGAACGTGACTACGTCATGAGGAACGCGCAACAGAATTGGCCGCTGCTGGTGGGGATTGCAGGCATCAACTCGTAAAGGGTAACGTCACGCTGGATCTACCGCCCGCCAGAAACGACGACATTCGTATTCCAGGCGATTTCCGGGTTTCCAGGTGTCCGACTTGCTGAAGTGGTTCGGCTGCCAAAAACAACCAGCGGTCGACCAGATCACGTTCGCCGTCGAGCCGGGCCAATGCTTTGGACTGCTCGGTTCGCTGTTTCGAAAGACATCACCTTACTTCCATGTTTTAGGAACGAACGGTGCCGGCAAGACGACCACCATCGACATTCTGACCGGGCTGAAGGAGGCCTCTGGCGGCGCAATTCGAGTCTACGGCCAACAGGGCACGCGAAGCTCGGTGAGTAACGGAAGAAAGCGGAGTTTCGAGCTCCAAGGACCGGAAAGTCAGTGAATTTCAGGCGATCGGCTATTGTCCACAGTTTGACGCCGTACTGATGGATTTTACCGGGCGTGAGGTGCTGAAGATCATGGCGACCTGCCATGGCTACAGCGAACCGGGAAAGGTGGCCACCCAGGTCGGGCGGCGCACTCTTACCTCAATTATCCCTCTCCAGGTCCTCGCCGCCGTCGGCATGTCCCACGACGGCGACAAGCGCATCAAGTTCTGCAGCGGCGGCCAGAAGCGGAAGATCAGCGTCGGTGTCGCCCTCCTTGCCCAGGACGCCATCCGAATACTGGACGAGCCGACGGCCGGTGTCGACCCGAAAGCCCGTCGCGACATCTGGATGCACCTCGACCTCTCCCGTCAACCCGCAGGGCGTACAGCTCAGCTGCTGACGTCGCACTCGATGGAGGAGTGCGAGGCGTTGTGCACCAAGATTTCGATCATGATCAAGGGAAGGATGGTGGCCATCGGGTCGAGTCAGCATCTCAAGTCAAAGTGGGCTCCCTACGATCATCTACGACCCTTTTGTCTTCAGATACAGCGGCGGGTACACGATGACCGTGGAGCTGAAGCCGGACGAGTCGGGCGAGCAGGACCCGGTGAAGCTGCACGAGTTGATGACGGCCAGCGTGGAGGCCCTCACTCAGGCTATGACCGCCTTCTTCCCCGAGATCAAGATCAAGGAGGCTGGTGCGTCGAGGACATGTATCTATGTGGTCAGTAGCATTGCGTAATCTCTGAACTCTTAGAACTAGGTCCCATCCACCACCCTGTCGTGGTCGGCAGCTTGGGAATCGATCGGCAAGCTGTGCTCCGACCCGAAGCTGCGTAAGTCATCTGACGTTTAGTTTATCAAAGCCTTGATCTCTAGGAATTGCCGACTACAGCGTGACGCAATGCGGCCTCGAAGATACGTTCTTGAAGGTGACGGCCCAGGCTAATAACGTGCCGGCATGAAGCAGTACACCCATATAGTCACCCTCGATCTACTAGCACTGTTTTGTGTATATCTCCATAATTTTTGCTAATCCGCTCGATCTCGATGTATTTTTCTGTATGATAAACTAACCCCGCCGGCTTTTTAATGGCAGACGACTTCGACTGACAATCCATTTTTTGCATCTGGGTACGGATACCAATAAATATATACGGTAAACGAGCTTCCAATGAAAACGACATTTGATCCGTTTACAGATTTGCCCGGCTCAAAATTCGAATTTTGAGTTACCTGGAATAAATTGGTGTTTTCAGGCTCAATCCATAAGTAAAAATGGAACAATTTAAATTTATTGAATTTTTACTTTAAAAGAAAAGTTTCGGCCTATTTTTACAATTAAAAATTTGCGGTAATAAATGTGATCTGGTGCAAAAGGTCTGCCCGGAAACATGCCTTGCTGTGCACCCAAACCACTAATCCCGCTGCGGTTTTAATTTGCACCTGGGTTCGGGGTATAACAAAAAAAGCATTTTTGTCAGAGCCCGCCAAATTGGGCAGTAGCAGATCCCAGTCTCCCGGGTTTGCGGCATTTCTAGAAGTATGCGACATTTATTTAGGGTCGGAAGCACGGTATCTTAGATATCTTACAAAAACCATTCGCTAGGGTGCCGCAAAATCCACCGAGGGTCGTTTAAAGGGGCTCCGAACTGCCAAATCAAAGCCCGTTTGGGAGGGCTCTTTGATTTCCGGCAAATTGCCAGCGGGCGCTGCGGGATGAGTGGATGTAGAAGTGGGTTTTCAGTATTACGGTCCCAGTAAACCCGAAGATATAAATCAAAAATGTCACTTCAGCCATCTGAAAACAAGCCGCTTCTTTCTGCCGAATTTGAAGCTCGGAGGTACACCACTGACAAGTTTATTACTTTAACGGAAGGGATGATGATTGACCTAATAATAAATGGCCATAACAATCGCGTTAATGAAACTTACAATTAGGGGCCTGAGATTATGTAAATATATGCCTTAAAGCCACACAAAAGTTGCATATAAATGTCACAGATAAAATTAAAAAATTTTGCCCCAAGCAAGTATGCATCACCGAAATTCTAGTTTCGCAAAGCCATGTTGCATTTTATACCCGCCTTTTTACGAGTTACACGATAAAAAAATTGGCGTCGAAATGAAAGGTGGCAGATACGGTTCAAAACTATTGCTGGAAGGGAACGTTTGCAAATTACCCAAAAAGCCTGCACGAATGAATAATGCAAATGGTTGTAAATAAACACAAATACCAACACCAATTATATTCGCTGAAAAGTCATTTTCGCTAAGAATTCAAAATTTGTATTCCGAGTATCTGCTAACCATTTAATTCCGCGCGGCGCTTCAGCCACTTGCCAACTTTTCACGGCAATTTTAGTCAATTCGAAAATGTTGGCCTTCACCTTACTAAAGTGCTTTTTATTATTCGGTTCGATTTATGGATTAGAATCACCTTGGCGAAAAGGGAGTCCGGGTCGCGATTCGCCAAGTTGAATTGCGCGCGTTTCGATAGTTTTTGCAATTCATAGGCAACCATGACCTCGACGATCCACCGGGGCCGTCTGGCAGTAGGATTGGGATGGATTGGAATTTGCCAGGTTTTCATAAAGAAAAAAAATGGCATATTCAAGCCTTAAAGATCACCCCCTCAGCCTGGACCTCCCAAATATACCGCTTGGAGAGATCTGGCAAATGGATGACGATGACTTATCACGTATGCTGTGGCCCTTAAAAATTGTAAGGAGGAGGAAAATTCCAGGAAACCCTTACGACGACGATCCAATGTTGCGGTCCAGGGCGAATTCGTTTGATTTGCTTGGTTAGTACATCTAAAGGGAGTCCCAATAAAAGTACCCCTTCTAACTCGGCGAAGAAGCGTCGGATCGGAATGGTAATTACACCATTCGAAAGCCATTGAAATGGCGAGTTTTCTGACATCCTAAAATTGTGTTTTTATGAAAAACTTCATTTTATCGGATGTTTAAGACATAAGGGAATTCTTCATCTAATTAGCGTCACTTCCCGTCATTCTGCTTTTAAGAAACTGAGGCAAATTGGCTCGTATCCGGAAAATTCTAAAAAATGACTTGTAAAACGTTGCGTTGAGATAAAAAATCTTGGTATGACTGTGTTCGCGAACTTGCCGTTTGAAGGGCTTTCAAACAGTGTAACAATCGTTCCGATCCGATACTTCAGCGTAGGGTTAAAGGCAGACATGGCAATTCAGGTCGGCCGGGCCCCGGGGCCGGGCCTGAAATCTAATTTGCATGAAAAAATCCCCCGCTTCCGGGCCCCGGAAAAATATGCAGATTCGCGGGGCCGAGCCCGGGCCCGGCCGAACTTTTCCGGGGCCGGGCTCGGCCGATTCGGCTCGGCCCCGGCAACTAAAATAGCTCATTTGCGTCTAAATTCCGATGCTAAAATGCAAATTTGCAATGCAAATTTTAAGTGCGTTGGTCCAGTTAGGACATCGGTGTTGGTAAATTCATTGAACTTGTTTAATAATTCGTTCCAACTATCAAAGAGTACTAAAATACGGGTCTGAACCTGTTCTGATCTGGCTGGAGGTGTATGGCAACCTTGGAAAATAAAATTTTTTCGAATTTGCATGGATAATTTGACTGAAAGTGATTTGCAACCGGGATTTCTGATTAGCGTGCGGCCTTGCGGCCCCGGGCTCGGCCCCCATTTTGGCTTAACCCGGGGCCGGCGAGAAAAGCCGAGCCCCGGCCCCGCCGGAAGTGGGGCCGAGCCCCGTCGGCCCGGCCGCATGCAAATTTCTGGGGCCGAAAAAGCCCGGGGGCCAGACCCGTTGCCATGTCTGGTTAAAGGCGTGTTTTTTATTCGGACATCCTGTGATTGTTACCCCATAATACTGCTGCCAAATTCTTCAGATTTCGTAAACGACGATCAGGACGATCCTGCCGTTCGAACTCCATCGCGAAGGGGTCGGATGCTAACACAAGAATTTTCTTCAAAATTTAGATTCCCCGGCACCGTTCGATGACCCTGACGAACCCCAGGAAGTTCCGGTGGAGAAGGAAAAGACGAGGAAACGTAGGAACCACAATCCGGGCTTAATCAATTTTTAAAACCTTTAAAATATTATTTAGGAAAGCGCAAAGGTTCCGAGTCATGGGGCCCAGGACATCTACCACCCGCCGTCCCAAGGGATCAACTGCAAAATTGTACTTGCAAAGTAAAAACGACAATTTTTCCAGATCTCCCCTCGTCTGATCCAGACCACATGGAAAAGAATGCCAAAATCCTGCAGGAAAACCTGAAAAAGCGTGGGTTTTTTGGGGGAAGGACAAGAACTAATCTTTTTTTCGAGTTTAGGCCATTATGGCGACCGGATGCATCATTGGCAACCGGATTTAGACGGGTTTCAGCGGATCGCTAGGAGGAGTGGCCGGAAAACGCTGGCTGACAATTTAGGTAATTTTGAGCGGCTTCTTATTATAGAGATGTCCCACTGAAAAAGGCCATGCTGGCATTTTACCATTTGGGGTCCGGTCGACTTGAAATTTGAAAACAGGCGTGCAAAAGACCTAGTGTTTCCATAACTTGCCCAAAGGATTAAAAATGTTAACAACAACTTACAGCCCAATCGCTTTAATAGTTTTCTCGTCATTACCAAAACTCTGTTTTTTTCTAGAAAGTTCGCTTCATAAGCTTCGTATGATAAAAACGGATTGGCCCTACATTTTCGCCGTACCTTCTGATAAAATTTCAGATAATGGTTTTTATTTTTGTATTTTTAATGATTTTTTGAAAAACGCAAACTGTAGCTAGCGCGCGAAAGTTTCTGTAAACCTTTTAAATATCCATGCACAGTTCTGTTAAAACTTGCAAAGCGCTGGTATGTAAAATAAACTTTGGTATAGTTGACAACGCTCAAGCCGTCATCAAAAGTCAAATTCCAGTCCGAGCAAACCAAATCGACGCAGCGCTTCGGGCGCGTCTGTTGGAGGAGCGACTCTTTGCCGCGCATTTTAGACTTCCGCTTGATACGGATGCGCTCGTGGCCGAAATGCATCTCCCGAAAGATGAGGTGGAAAAGGGATTTTTTTTCTGGTCAGTGCACCAATTTTAGATAGAAAATCTGAACGACGCTTATGCGAAACGAGAAAAACAGTATGAAATGCTTGAGATCGAACTCCGACCCTTGCAGTTATTACGATACAAACGAAAGAAAACGGAAAGCGAAACTGGGGCCGAGGAGCCCGAAAAGTTTCGTTTTAAGCAAAAAAAATGCCAGGATTTGTAGATGTCCATCAGCCACAATCGAAAAGGGCGCGGGTGGCAGAACAGCGGCTGGCAACGCGTACTGCTCAAAACTGCTCTTAATGCGAACGATTTTAATTATTTCACAAAATTACTAGAAATTGATAAGGGCAACGATTTAGGCGAAGATCATGACTACTTGCCCAAAAAGGCAAAAGTGGAAAAATCAAAGCCAAAACCGGACAATGTTGCTGTGGGAAACATTGAGTGTACGTTATTTTTCGGATTGGCTATTTTGATGTCAGAAATCCTAATGTCGAAATTCATAATGGCAAAATTCCTGATGTCGAAATTCATAATGCCGAATTTCGGCATTTCGTAATTTTGATGCTGTCGGGATTTGATGTGTTTGATGATGGAAGTTCCGACATTCTGTAATTTCGACACTACGGTTTTCGACATTATCCGTTTTTTCGGGTTTCTTAATCGTTTAAACCATTTTTTTAGCCCATAAAACCTAATAATTTTAGACCTTGGCCCGGGCGATGATCCGGACTATCGAGCAAAGAACTCGGCGATTTTAAAGGACAATCTACGTCGGCGTACGTTGATCCTCAGGGATGGCATGCCTGTTTCTAGGAGGTTTCGAGGGGCCCATTCGGGAGCATCGACCATGGCATGATGGCATCAACACTTTCATCAGCCCAAAGTTTGCCAAGATTCGTAAGTTATAGCTAGAGATTTGAAGAAGCTACTAGAGTTTTCCAATCAACCTCAATTCTAGAAAAAACCCTCGATATACCCGAGGAGAAAAAATGGGCCATTTTCGAGGACACCCTGCTGGCTCACCAGAAGAAGATTGATTTTGACGAGAAGGGGCTGGCTGCGAGGCTTGGGGTACCAGAGGCCAAGGTTAGGCGTTTGGCGGCTTTTTTTTGAACGAAGCTCTTTTATGTGAAAGCCCTGAGGAGCAACTACTACAAATCGGAAGGGCTGTAATTAGATGATTTCCGTAATTAATTCCATTTCTTAGGGCGCAACGTGGGAATCAGCCAGCCAATTCCATCAGAACTGTCGGTACGCTGTCTTGACTAACATCTGCAATTATGTCATTTCCCTGTAGCCATCAACCCAGCATTCAGCAGAAACGATGGCAATTACATGGGCCAACTGCGAAAGAACATGCGTAGGCTGAGTTGCTAGCATAATGTCAAAATTCAGCATGTCGAAAGCTCAATATGACGACATTTTTTTGCATAGAAATTTGGTGTTCCCGGGAGATTCAATTAAATTTTGACATTATGAAATTTCGACACTAAAATTCAAACAAAATTTGTTTTTGTTTTATTTGGTTCCTTGTTCGTAAAGCTAGTTTTAGTGCGGGCGCATGAGGTGATGGATTTTAACGAGTTCCAGAAAACCCAACAGTATCGATTACTACGCTTGGAAGGACACGATCCGGAAAATGTATTTGGGTCTCATTCTCAGATTACATTTCCTTAGATGCGTCACATTTTTGATACGGTATCCCCGGATGTTCGGGAAAGGGGTGGGTGGGCTGTGATTTTGGCACAAATATAGAGGATATTTAGTGGCAGGCTTCCAACGAGATGGGCTGGACCTCGAGTCGCGGACCCGGAGATTGCCGAACGCATGGCCTGCTGGAAAGGACCTAAATACCACTTTTTTTAGCTTATCAGCCACTGAAAAATGACGTTATAACCCCAAAGGATCATTCAGATCATATGTATGCAAAGAGGGTGCCCTATGAAGATGGCTGGAGGACGCATAGGATCCCGGGTGATCGAGACAATCTCGGTGATCACGGGTTAACGTTTCAACCTAACAGCTTTGCTCAGTTCCCATAGCCAACCCATGCACCCGGCGTGAAAAAAGGGCCGCTGATGCCGCGGGGCGCGTTGGCTGCAATTTGGCCATCAAAAACCTAAATCGACCAAGGGATGATGTGGCAAAAGTCATTTTTACGTTTTTATCAAGTTTTCAGAGTTTATATTTTTTGATTCCTTGCTCTGTTATTGATGTTTGTGCGTCAATAAAAGTTGCAATCAAGCACACCATTTCGTAGTACTTGGAAAGCAATATGAATGGTATCGGAGTGGAGGCACGAAACAATCGTACATCGTTGAGGGTACACCAAGTGTCCATATGTCGTTTCCACAGTGTTTATGACGTCGTCGATTTTCTAAAGAACTTAAAATGATAGTAACATGTACTTAGATTCCAGTCGGAAAACGGCAAAGGAGGAAGCGCGACAAAGCTCTAAAAGTTGTACCCGAAATCAAGTATCGGCTGGTCTAGTTTTGTACCCGAAGTAATCATAGCCCTATCTGTATTTGCCGGCAATTTCCCGCTTTTTAGAAAACACGCGGCGGTTGAGCTCTCTATAATTTAAAATCAGCGACAACAGCGTTTAGCCAGTTTTGCCTCTTCATCCACAAGCTAGCAATTTTGATGGATCTTTTACTTGTGATTAAGTGGGAGACGGCGCAAAGGAAGTTGCTGGAAAATACGTGTCTGCCCTGGCTATAATTGGCAAGCGACATTTTCGATTCGAGTGGTGTATAACTTTAATAGATTAGCCGAGTAACGTCCATGGCTAAGAAAAAGATCCTAAACGCGGCCTACCGCATCCTATACACTTTTTATATCCCTATTACTCTGGTAAGGCATTTTAAATTGCGTTTAACTCCTTTGAAAAACATTTCAGCTAACAGTCATCGCGCTTCCGGTCCATAGCTATTCGATATTAATAATTCTCAAACGAAAATCCCTGGCGTTTTCGGTGAAATTCCTGATGACCTTCATTGCGATAAATCGGACGGCATCGGCCGTTTTGCGGAGTTATTTTGCAATGTGTTATCGCCGGTAACTTCTCGCACCTCGCTTGATATGTTTGATTAAGCAAAAATTGCTGGACCGAGAATACCTGGTCGCTTTGGGCAGATCCAACCCTAACAAATGTTGTTGTAGTGTGTCTTTATCAAATCGTCTCGAGGTCGACGGCGTTTATGGAGTTTGGACTTTCGATTAATCGGTACGAGCAACAGAAGGGGTGAGAGAGTCGTGTTAGAGCAAGAGAGAAAGTGAGAGAGAGTGAGAGAGTGAGAGCGAGAGAGAAAGAGAGAGATAGAGAAAGAGAGAGAGAGAAGCGAGCGAGTGAGCGAAAAAGTGAGCAAGATAGGGAGTAGAAAGAGAGAAAGCGAGAATGAGGGAGAAGAAAGCGAGTGAGTGGGAGAGAGAAGGAGCGAGAGTAAGAGTTTTCAAACAAATTTTCCAGCTTTTTCGCCGTTTTCTTCGAAGGCCGCTACTATCGTAACGTGCAGAAGACGACCATTCCGTTGGCTATATTCTCAGTAGCTATATTTTGCGCCTACTATCTCTCGAAAATCTACGGAGAATGGGAGCATCGCGGGGAGTACGAGGACGACGGCGTCGATTACTGGGTTTTCCGGGGAGACTATATTAATATGGATGTCGAAATGTCCCGAGCGGTCAATTGGGAAGACGATTTTCAGGTTAATCCTTGTTGGGAAACAATTAGAGATACATGCGCGTTTGCTATACAGGGTGTCCCATTAAAAAACACCTCCTCCAAATCGAGGCAGAAGTATCGGATCGGAATGATAGTTATATTGTTATAAATTCCCCGTTTCAAGGGCTTTCGAATGGAGTAACTATCGTTTCGATCCGATACTTCTGCTTCGAGTTACAGGAAGTGTTTTTTTCCCTGGGGACGCCCTGTATAGCCTTCAATTTCAGCTCCAATTTGGCAATGCCCTCGAGCAGACGCTTCTTGGAGCGTCACTGATCAGTATATCGGCCGATACGCTTGTTTATTTATTTTTGAGGATAGCCGTAGGTCATGAAAAATATCACGAATTTTGCGATACCTTCAATAAGCCCCATTTTTAGAAACAACACCAACCCGCCAACAACAACCAAAAAGTCAGCGCCGAGCTACGGCTGTCGATTTTGGTAAATCCGGTCGTGCCCTGCATACTTTGAATATTTTTGAGGCCTTCACGACGCACCTCGTCCAAATCATCCCGACAATCACCCTTCAACCTTATATCTTTACTACGTTTCGATGGGTGCTATCCCATTACGTAACCATCTACAACTATCACTGGAATACGGTGCAAGGTGTCGCACACGTCATCATGTCGTACGTTTTCAACGAGGTTAAAAATTTTTGGTTTAGGATCGTGATAATTCTGCTTTTACGGCCTACAGAAGAGGAAAAAAAGGCAGCAACGATCAGCCAGAGCTTTAAAACTTAACCGATTGAAACGGATGGTTGTAGGACACTTGTTAATTGTTTGATATAAAGCTTTTTGTAAAACCTTGGTTATTTTTTAAACCGCATTTCCATTAAAAGGTCAGACTCCAGATAACCCCCCCCCCCCAGCCAGCTCGGCCCCCATAGGTCCTATTGGTGCGCCGAGTATCTCAAAATGTTCGCCGTGGTTTAAAACCTAACGGAAAGTTGTTTGGTTCCCTCAAAAATTGTTATAAATTTTTTTATAAGAATTACCAGCGCCCAAAACCCGCTTCGCGGGCCTTGGGCGCTGGAATGCGGCTTTTGCATAAGAAATTTGACTTCCCGATAGCTGGGTCCTGGGATCCCCTCCCCCCGTCCGACCACACGCGCGCGTGCAACTTGCAAGAATGAAGATGCCTTGAAAGTGACATCCACACACACACACACACACACACAGTTACACTCCAAAATTATATAAGGTAGGATAAGTTTGGGTCGCCTGTGTTAATTTTTCCTAACCCAAAGTCGAAATTGGTATCTCGGCTCTAGTTTGTCATACACGGCTGGTAAGGGTACCAAAATGTAGCTCTTGACCTGGAGAATACGAAAACGTTTACTTTGGGTCGAAAAATCATCACAAAAAAGACGAAAATCGACGTCGAAAATTTAAAGCTTGGGCTTGTAGAAAGTTTTGCGAAAAAAATTATATAAAAATTTTTCTAGCGATTTTCGGCGAAACCAAACAACTTTCCGTTAGGTTTTAGACCACGGCGAACATTTTGAGATACTCCGCGCATTAATATGGCATATGGGGGTCGAGCTGGCTGGGGGGTTATCTGGAGTTTAGCCCATTAAAACTTTGAATTCGACGTTGTACACCTGAGCCGACTGGTGTACATGGAGTCCCAAAAAACGACCCCCTCCCTCTAGTGGTCCGGAGAAAGGTCGGATCGGCATAATTTTTCGTTGTAAGAAATTTTTTGGCCCGCGCTTGATACACAACAATTTCTTAAAAAGACTAAAATCAGGGTCGTCCTGTTTGCTTTGGCAAGCAATTAACATGCTGATTTTGCATAAAATCTGCCGTTTTCATGGATTTTGTTATTAAATTTAATGAACTAAGATGACTATATTGAAAAACAAAACGTGCTTATTTGCTAGCCTCTTTGAGAGCTTTCGATAGATACCTAAACAGCCACAATCGGACAGGACTGAGTGAGTGCCGCTGGAGTCTCGTAGGCCGGTAAAAATCAAGCACGAGCAAGGCAGCAATTTGCCAAAAATTACTGGAAAAGTGGCCCCCCCCCCCCCCCTTAGGTTGATCACTAATGTCACTTTTGTCACTTTTCGAAAATCACGAACGATCATTGGACCCTCAACATGTACAAATGTTTATTAGCTTTGTCGAATTAGGCAACTCCGTCGACCCGCTCAACCGCAGTGGTATCGCATCGCCAGACCGCTAACACCAGAAAAATGCTAAAAATCGGATTACGTGTGTTTTTACCTGTGTACCTGGCCACCAAATTTGAAAGAGCCCTCATCGCTGTTATCGTCATAAACGTCACCAACTCGTGCGGTATTTTATCGTGTAGATCCCGTGACCAGTTCAGCATAGATTCAGAGACCAGAGGCAGAACCGAGCAAAGGCACGCGGCCGCAAACTAAAAACTTCATAGGGGATATGTCCGCAGTTACTGGCGGATAGCTTGTAAAACACGTACCCATTTCCCAAACCCAAGCAAAAGGCGACGATTCTCTTCATTACTGGCAGGTTTCTGAAGATATTGTTTGACGGAAGCCTAGGCTAGCAACCTGTCTTCGGGAAACCCAGTGGGTTGCACCACTGTAGAGAGCAGTTAAATATAAAAAATGCGGGTGTAGGATAATCCAAATACCATCGCCACTGTTCCAAGCCAGTTCATGAAGCTGACTGTAACTCTTCCCTTATAAATCGTGTGTTACCGTTGTAGAGGGTCGCGGTTTATATGCTGACTAGTGAGATGGAGAGAGAGAGAGAGAGAGAGAGAGAGAGAGATGGAAAGAGAGATGGAGAGAGAGATGGAGAGAGCGAGAGACATGGAAAGAGCGAAAGAGAGAGATGGAAAGAGCAAGAGAGAGCGAGTGAGAGCGAGAGAGAGAGAGAGAGAGAGAGAGAGAGAGAGAGAGAGAGAGAGAGAAGGAACGAGAGAGAAGGAGCGAGAGTGAGAAAGGGAAGCGTAAGCTACCTACACCGATATCTCCCAGTATTCATTCGGGAAGTAGGCGTAGCCCAGATATTTCTTGAAAGTACCTATAAATTTAATAAAGTGTAAATTACTTTCGCCGTGGATAAAAACAACATCGGTCAAACAAAGACGCTATAGACACCCACTTTCCCAAGATTTACCATAACCAATCTGCGTCATGTGGCTGATAAATGGTACAAGGATGGCGAAGACGGGCCAAACGATCATGTACTTGCTCAACATATTGTCGTAGTGCCCTTTGAAAGCTACGGTTATTCCCCTGAAAAGGTTAGGGCAAAGGTCTCACGCAAAGAGTCTTTTACCGCGATACGGCGATCCCGAAACGCAACAACCAAAACCAGTCCAACACGACGACATGCAGCGTTGTCAAGTACAAATTCACATACATCGGATTGCCGACTTTTTGGCAGTCCCACCTAGAAAAGCTCGTTCACGTTGCTAAAGCCAAGCGGGATAAGACAAAAATGCTTAATCGATGCAGTATACGCACTCTTTGTTGCATTCATACTGATAGAATCGCACGGCCCCATCATATAATAATCCGATGGCGTAAGGAATGAGCGACAAATTGAGTAAACGCAGAATTTTTCGCCGAATAAACAATACTAACAATAAGGCCAGGCCAACAAGACATTGCAGGCAGCCAACCTCAAAAATACAATATTTTAATTTTTCTAAGCAAGTGTAACAACCGCCAAAAAACCGGGCTGAAAAATATGATCCAATTGGCGGTTTATGGTCGATTGTTGCATGTTCTCTTCATAGCGATCCCGGGGAAACAGCCGCCCATCCTCGTACCACTCTGGATCATAATAATAGTCATTGTAGTAATCACCATAGTAATATGCAATTGTTGTAGCTATCGACTCAGTGTTGCGCACTTCCATGTCTAGCAATAGACCGAAAAATTGACGACGTTTTGCCCAATACTGATTTTTAGTGGTATGTAATTAAGTGCCCCCGCTCCATAGCGGCGACATTGTAATAAGTACATACATGGTCGGGTTTATTTTGCTCGCAATGGCACGGAGTCGACTATATAGGAAACTTCAATTTTTTATGAAAATCATAAAGGAGTCCCAATAAAAAAAACACCTCCTCTAACTCGACACAGAAGTATCGGATCGGAATGGTAGTTGCACCCAGGGGAAGCCCTTAAAACGGCCAGCTTGCGAGAACTTTAGACCCATGTTTTTATTTAAAAATGGCATTATAGCGCATTTAAAAACATTAAGGAACGGCCGCTGCATCTAATTAACGGCTACTTCCGGCCCTTTTACTTGGGAGACTTGGGGCAAATTAGCTCGGATGCAACCCCTGAAAACAATAATTTTACAAAATCGCTTCAAAAATGGCAGGCCCAACAAAAAACATGGTTTTGAAGATTGTTGCAAACTCGACGTTTGAAGGGCTTTCGAATTGTGTAACTACCAGTTCGATCCGATACTTCTGCGCCGAGTTAGAGCCGGGTGTTTTTTAATGGGACACCCTGTAGTGTGTAACTGGTTTGCTCAAATCGGTCTCTTGGCTTGGCCGGCGTGACTATTGGCGACAAGAGCAGCGAGCTAATTTCTAACCCCAGTGGCCACGATTTTTCCAGACATTTAGGCTGACTGCACGTCTACACGTCTCTGCACTCTTTGAACTTATTGTTAAAGCCTGTCGAGATCTTTGTTTCCCCGACCCGGCCGGTCTCCCTTCAACCCCCCTCGAAAATGAGCGCATCGCGTGGCTAATTACAAAAATGCCCGTCCGGCTCCTATTTTGTTGTGAGAAAGGCATGGAGAGGGCTAACCTAATTTGGGTGGGCCTCAGCGGCGATGGTGAGCAGTGGCCACCCAGTTTCTGGATGATAGAAAGGAGGCCGAGGAGAAGCAGCCTCCCTAAATCCCATTACCAAGGCACGAACAGAACTGGTCATTCCATTTCTGTCTATTCTGACAGCGGCTAAGAATACATTTTTAGGCTTATTAAGTGTGTTTATCTCGTTGCTATCTTAAAACATCTGAAATTCATCTGGTATCAACTTGTATAAAAAGGTACGTTTCCCTGAACACTTATAATTTAGGCAACAAATTTAATTATTCCAACCTTCCAAAAAAACCGAGTTTAACCGTCTTTTTTCGAAGTGCGATACAATGCACGTGCTACATCTCGTCCTCCTATTAATGCTCGAGTCGTCGGCTATCGGTGAAAAAATCAAAATTGGCTTGATTTTGGTGGGTATTTAAATGGATTTAAAGATTTAAATGGATTTAAATCACTAGGCAGAACCATTTGCTTGGATACACCCGGATTGCCAGTCTGCACCTGATTCTGAAAAATGTAGAGGAAATAATCGATATCGAGGATTTTGCGTGGATTTGTTACAGGTAGGTTAGAAGGCCGTGGGATACCATAAAAATAGGTTTGTTGGCGAGAGAGAGAGAGAGAGAGAGAGAGAGAGGGAGAGAGAGAGAGAGAAAGATAGAGAGAGAGAGATCGAAAATCCAATTTTCTAGTTCATATCAGCTGCCGCCAAGGATTTCGACTATGAGCTAAAAAATGAGACCCGAGTTGGTCGACGGCACACTTCCGGTGAATGGGATGGAGCTCTCGGGCAGTTATTTCGTAACGATACCGACTTAGTGATCGGTCCGATAAGCATCACGGCGGTAGAGGCAGTTCGATAACGCCAAAAATATCTTTAGAGCCGAGCCGCTAGCTTCGAGTTTACACAGCCGTTTTTGAACACTGGGATCTCAGTGATGATCAAAAAGCCGCAGCGGGTGGTAAGAATTCGAATATTTTTTTTGCCTAGAATTTCTCTAAATGTTTGGTTTCTCATGGAATTTTTTCAATGGACCGGCAGTTTATTTTTATTTTTTTAGGAACCCGGCCCCTTCTCCTTCCTGCAAGCATTCAGCGTCACCACATGGGGATACATTGTGTTTACCTACGCTGGGGTAAGTAATCTTTTTCGTTAACGCGTACAATTTTCTAAGATGATTTTCCTACACGTTTTCTTACTCTACAAACGCATCAAACGGAACTACGGGGAGCCGATGAGGTAATAAATTTTTTTTACGTTTTTGGGCATGAACTTTAGGGCCTATTCCGAAAAGATACTACGTACAATTTGCTACGTCTTCACGCTTTTTGTCTTTGGATTGTACACAGCAAACTTGTCGACGATAATACAGCATAATTTGAATGTAGGGTTTTTACTCAAAATTGACCTTGCTTTGGACGCTTTTGGCTTCGCCAGTCAATCAAAATGAGTTGTATTACAGGAAAAAGCGGCAGAATACGTAGATGGAGGGCCGGTTCCAGAATCCCTTGACGAACTATTGGATGGAAAACTTGGGATTCAGCTGGCAGTTGTTAAAGGGGATTTGATCAGCTGGAATTTCTGATTTTCATTGTAGATGGCTCCACTTCTCAATTTCTACAATACTCCCCAAGCACGTTGTATTCAAGAATTTGGAAAAAGTTGATGGATCAGGTAAGAACAATCTCGATTGAGGCTTTAAGTTTTTAGGGCCCAGAATCATTTGTATCGAGCTATCCAGAAGGAATCTCGAGAGTGCGGAAAAGTCAGGGTGAGCTTCAGTCAAAAACAAATCAGGTTGCTATAGGGAAATTTGCATTTTTGCTCGAAGAAACAGCGAATGCCTACGTAAATGGCAGAAGGCCATGTGATACGATGAAAACAGGTTCGTCAGCAAGAGCGAAGGAGCGAGAGAGAAGAGAGAGAGGAAGAGAGAGAAAGAGAGAGCGAGAGAGAGCGAGAGAGCAAGAGAGAGAAAATCAAATCCAGAATTTGCCCATTTTCAGGAGGCCTCCTAAATGGCGTTGGATACGGTATCATCGGCCACAAGGGTTCCAAATTGATGTGATATATTTTGTATTATGATTAGGAGCTGGTTTTAGCCCCCTGATCAATGAGGCGCTTCTCAACCTGAAGGAAAAGGGCGAACTCTTGCGCTTGGAGGACAAGTGGTGGAAACAGCAGTCAGAGTGTAACGTGGAGACGGTATTTTAGACAATCTCGAGGCTCAGTTAAACCACGGTTGTAGGACCTCAGCCCAGGCCTAAAATTCCGCGCTATTGTCGGGCTATTCTATTTCATTGCCGTGCTGTTGGTGCTAAATCTGGTACGAAGAACCCTTGAAAAAATTATATAGTTGTTTTTAGGTATTTGCAGTTTTTGAGAACGTCATCTGCCGCTCAAAGAAAACGTTGGAAAGCACCGGCCTAACGAGTTAGAAAATTGATGGTACAAATAAATGCACAAAAACACGGAAAATAAAGACAAAATTGTAGTTTGTTGTGTAGTAATTTACCGCTCAATAACGTTGCAGAAACTTCGCAGAAACACAACAACAACAACAGAAACAGAAACAGAGTTTCACGTTGCGGAAAAACATTTGAAATTTTTTTGTATCTCTTGAATTTCGCCTCTTCTTAAAATTGTTTAAATTAATTAAAAAGTTTTTTTGTATACTTTTGAATGATGGGGGTTAAAAAACTGTAACTTGTAGCCATTTCCTACCGGAATCCAAACGATACGATTCATATTAGCAGCTTTCAAACGTGACCCACCCTGACCCTTTGTCCTCCAGCGGTCCCTAAATGGTGCCAAGCCCCCCAGGGCCTTGTTCTGCTAATCTCCCTCTCAAATATTTGATCTGAACCCCCAAAAAGGTTTTGCCAGGGCCGGATGGATCAAAAGAGGCTCTAGGTGAGGGTGGTGCTTGAGATTTGGGGAAGGTGCGAGGTGGTGATGGCGACGACCCATTCCTTCTACAGGCGGTATCCTTCGGGTCGCGAAGGGAATTCTCAAGCATCTTGCGTCGTCCCTTTTACGAACCCGAGGCGCGGGCATCAGGTGGTGGTGGCTTTATACGTGTTGCTAAGAGCAAATAAAAGATGTGGCAAAGGTATAGAAGGCCACTGGAAAGAGGCGTTGCTGGTACGGTGCTGGAAAACACGGTCCAAAACTTCAAGGCGCAACATCGAGCGTGTTTTTGCGCAAAAACCGACTGCTTTCTGGCGTACGAAAATGCCGCCGAACTACAGAAAGCGCAGGCTACCTAGCAAAGATTCTTTGGGATCAAAAATTCGGTATAAATTAACTTAATTATCCGGCTGAACGGTCCAGCTCCGCGTGTGCGCATCGAAACACGACGATTTTTTACTTTGTTTCATTTTTTAGACACGTTTTAGACGAAAAATACATTTAGCCATTAATGCGTAAATCAGAGTACTTCTAAGCTACAGAAAATTTGCTTTCACCATCTCCTTAAAACACGGTGCACGAAGGGCTGGATATCCAAAAAACCGTGATTACCTAACTTTTGTTGACCCCTTCCGGCCGACTTTGAAATCGAATACCGAGTAGGCACTTCGTTATGATACCCGGTGCGAAATATCACCCCGGGGCTACAAGTGGGTCAACGAGGAAACGATGGGCAAATAAGGCATATCTCTATATTAAGTCGCAAAGAGCCGGGGGTTACTGTAACCAAGGGACCCTTTCAAACTATCTCCATTAAAGGGCCGAGCAAGCCAGCTGCCAGCCCGAGATGCACTTAGGGCTAGGCCAGGATGCGTATTACTAGAATTTCAATATGTTTTTCAGGTTTATGAAACATTTTAAGTGGTGTAAGGCAACTAATTAATACGATTAATCGACAAGATTTTCCCTCATGACCCAACTAGCCCTTCCAGACCCTAGAATCGCCGCTGGATGCCTTTTTGCGGGCCTTGGGAGTGCAAAGTGTGCGCGTGATCCAATAGACGCCTTTTGTCTCACCCACATCGTCACCCTTTTTCTGCTATTCAATTATCCTTTTATGTTTTCATTAGACACACAATGTTTTTGCCTTGATTATTGGGGTATAGAAAAAAATCCAATAATGTTTGTCTACGGATTCGGGGAATTTAGAGGCATTTCGTGGATCTCTCTATGACTTTCTCTCCCCCTCTCTCGCGCTCTTGCTGTTCATTTCTTTCACTCTCTACACTTTTCTCTCTCCCTCTCTCACTCTCTCTCACTCTCTCTCTCTCTCTCTCGCTTTATCAGCTTCCTCCAAATTATGCAAATTTCCGGTAACTAACCTAGCAATTTAGAATTCAGAGCTGGTCCCCATCTCCAGGTCCAAATTTTGATGGCCAGGTGGAGAGTGGAGGTCGGCGGGACAAATAGGTGCTAACCGGTGGTGGATAGGGATGAGGTGAGAGAGAACGAGAGTGAGAGAGAACGAGAGAGAGGGAGAGAGAGAGAGATCCATAGCAAGATGAGTAGCAGATAATGACCGGGTCATTACCGGGCCCCCAGTTGTGCCCCTGGCTCGTGTAGGGTGGGTCCCCCAAAAAGCGCGGCGCCATGCCAATTAGCTACTCGCCCCGAGGAGATCCAATCCCGAAAAGGGTATCATGACCCCCGGGGCTTTTGATCGGATGCTATAGGCAAATCGGGTGGCCTGGCAGGTAGGTGAGAAATTTAGCGGGTCGTCTTTTAGGAGGCAGTAGGGTGACGATTGGTGTCGACCGGAAATGCCCGGGGCTCTTGGCATGCTTCATTGTTTGAGGCTGAGTACGGTGGGTGAAATTTTGGCTCCGCCTAACTTTGATCTACCCCTAAGCTCATTTTTGGAAGGTTATAATTTGAGCCGGAAGTTACAGTATTCTTCCGTATTCGAGCTGCTTGTCCTTTTCTAGATGTCGAAAATTTCCATTATTGCAGTAGATTGGGAGATATAGAGGTATGATTTTGCGTGTTTTTAAGGCATAAACAAGACCATAAATTGCTCACTAAATTTCTGCGCCTGCGCTGGAGTATCAATCTTCATGTATTGTTATTTTTCATGCCTGCAGGGTTCGCATCGATCTCTTGACAAACCGGAACTTGATCTCGCCATCCGATCACGATCCCTTAAAACCCTGCCGCTAGCCGCTAATTTTAAAGGAATGCTAAGGGCAAGGGATACCACGACAAGTGTGTGAGAACAATTTGCCCGGGTTGCCCTTTGGATCCTGTCAAATCGACTGATTAGCGGGTGGATGCCAAGTAAAAGAGATACCGAATAGCCTGAGGCATTGTACGCCTTCAGAACTACGGTATGCTCCCCTTGATACACCATTTCCTGAACAAGCGAAGTGAACATTTGAATTTGCAAAGAACTGAAGTTAGAAGCATTGATCAAAAAAAGCTATCTTATTTAGAGTTTTTCGCCGTTACCGTAACCTTAACAGCAATTTATTTTTCGACCAATTTTTAGGCGGGAATTTTATCCTAAAATTTATCTAGAGCCCAGCAAAAGTATTTTTCTATTTTAACATTTTCGAAACTTCCGTATCAACCGCTGGCTCCGACACTTACCTGCAAGGCCTACACCCGGATTTCATCCTAATCCTCTAAAAACTTTGAAGATCCACACGCAACCTCCAAATTTCCCAACCAACCCCCTGAGAAAGGCATCAACCACCTCGTGGACCCCGCACCAAAACAATCCTCGCGATTTGCGTCGACACCGGTGCCCCATATGTGGGAATTAGGATGGGATGAGAAGATTCTGGCGATAAAGACGTGGCTGATCGGCACTTAGGAATTGTCGGCACCTGCGTAACGTCTTCAATATGAGATCGGGAGTACATGAAAGCAAAATGTTGGCGCCTCGTGACCTTGGCTAGCAAAAAAAAATTGTAATCATGCTTAGGAGAAGTGGTACGAACAATCGTGAAAACTCTTAAAATTGAAGATGAGTCGGTAGGAATCAAGAAACATAACAGCCGGGTAAAACTGCCTTGAGTTAAATAAAATGTGAAAATTCAGGGGCTGCAAATGAAATATCACTCTCTGACCTCCTCTCTTTCTTTCTCGCTCTTTTCAGCTGTCTCTTTCTCTCACTCGCTCTCTCTCCCTCTCTTTCTCTCGCTCTTTCTCTTTTTTCTCACTCGCTCTCTCTCGCTCGCTCGCTTTTTTTCTCACTCTCTCCCTCTCCCTCTCTCTCTCACTCTCTCTACCTCTCTCTCTCTTTCTCTTCCTTTTTCTCTGACTCTCTAGCTCTCTTTACCATAGCCTTGCAGCATTTCCAAAAAGGCATCTTTTCCAAAACCGAACTTGCGATTTGTTTGTTACTTGTAAGGATTTTTCGATTTGGAAGTGGCTCAGATAAAGTTCTACAAAGCATTCCTTTCTACTTTCTAACCCCCGTTAAAAATACCCAAAACTACTTTTTGTTTTGCTCCAGGTTAGCGCACATGTTGTCTGGCGGATATGCAAATTGCGCAACGGGTGGGGATGTCCTGACGGCCAGATTCGCACCCTAGCCCCGCACGACTCGTCAACCCTTACATAACTTCCACTGATTGCCCCATCCTGGATGGACTCGCAGCGATGGACTGTACAAATAATGTACACTTTCCTGCTTGGGCCACTCGCCGGATAATCCTGCGGTATGCTAATCCCAGCGCTGGCCTGGGGTTCGCAATTTGGTGTCGGTTTTTTTGGGGGATATGGGAGCTGGCAACAAAATAGTTATCTAATAAATAACTAAAATACATAAATAAAAATTAATAGATTATTTACATCTAAAAAGCCTAACACTGATTTGACCGCATTGAAAACTGTAATTTGAAAATCCAAAAATACCGCCATCTGCTTGGAAAAAAATTGCAAGACGCGGCTTCGTGGGACAAAATTTCGAAGTGAATTGAGTTGCCATATTACAATCTGGTCGTAAAATTGGTGTTATAAAATTAAATAAAGTATCTTTAACATGCTAATCAGGTTGGCTGTCTTAAACTATATTTTTTGGGTTTTCAGAATATTGAAATTGGTTTAAAAAATACTGTAAATTCAGCCCGTAAAACTCTCAAAATGCCCCATAAAATAACTGCAAGATCCAAATGATTTATTGCGAAATGAATATACAGTTTTCACCAAAAATAGGACAATAAATCACCATCACAATTCGAAAAACGAGAAACAAAAATAGTTGCTTCTAAAGGAGGGGAGGCGCAGTATTATTGCCAGAGAACACCAGTCAAGAATTGATTCGCCACACAAAAAAAATAGCATCGGAATTTAGAGAATACTGTAACCTCGTGGTAAATAAAACAGATCGATACGAGATGATAATCTTACAAAAAAAGCAAACCAAAAATGATGTCAAAAACAAACTGGAAATGGAATTCATTCCTAACACGGGGAGATTGGGCGTTGGTACAAAAAGCAAAAGTCGCTGAATAGCAAGAGA